GGTATAGAAGCTTCTTAATTTAATCTAGTTTGAGTGCTATCTTTCTAGTCCCTTTTCTTTTTTAATGGCTCAAAGAGATTTTTATTTTCCTAAAGACTATTAAAACTTTTACCATTGTATTTAGGTAGCATGTTGACAGTAGTATTAATGTTTATGATCCTTTTCTTTGCGTGGGTGAGGGGCACACCCAGCAGTGCCCAGGCCTTACCTGGCTCTACAGTCAGGAATTACTTATGATGGTGTATAGGGGACAGATGGGATGCCAGGAATCAAACCCGGGTCAGACACATGCAAGGAAGATGCTGTACCTGCTGCCCTACCACTCAAGCTCTTTAATGTTTATGATCTTGATATCGCCTCTTGATAGTGTGTCTATCATGTCTCACCACCATCAAAGTTCTCCAGACCCTCTGCCAATGACGTAGTATTTATACCTCCTCCCTTTTGTCACTTACTCCTACTTCTCCTGTCATGACCTAATATAATTTATAATCCTTCTGCATCACTTACTCCTCCATCTCCCTGCCATTTGGTAAGCTAAATTTGTAATCCAAGGCCAGTAGCTTGTCACTGTTCAGTGCTGTACATTCCCATGTTTTATTTCTCTACGTACTGCAGATGGAAATATATATATATATATATAGAGAGAGAGAGAGAGAGAGACAGAGAGAGCGGGAAACATATATGGGGATATATATATATGTATTTCAGAGAGCCCGGCAAGCTACCGAGAGTATCCCGCTCTCACGGCAGAACCTGGCAAGCGACCCATGGTGTATCCGATATGCCGAAAACTAACATTAACGGGTCTCATTCCCCTGACCCTGAAAGAGCCTCCAATACGGCAGCGTTGGGAAAGACGAGTAAAGGGAGGCTGCTGAAATCTCAGGGCTGGCATGAATGGAGACATTACTTGTGCCCACTCGAGTAAATCATGAACAGTGGGATGAGACAGTGACAGTGACTGCAGATGAGTGAAGTCATCCAGTTTTTGCCTTTCTCCCTGTGATTTGTCTGCTTAACACAGTATCCTTCTGTTTTATCCAACTGACGGTAAATTGCATGATCTCTTCTTACAGATATATGTTATTGTGGACACATACCAGAACTTCTTTATCCAATCATCTCTTGCTGACATCTGGGTTGCTTCCATATCTTGGCTACGGTGTTAAGCATTGAACATAAGTATACATATTTTCTTTTCAATAAGGATTTTTGTATTTTTGGCATAGATACCAAGAAGTGTACTGACTAGGTCATATGGAAGCTTTTAGGAGAATTCCTCATACTGTTTTCCCTAGAGGCTGAGCTTAAGGCAGTCTCACCAACAGACATTGACTTTTTGTAAGTGGTCAGAAAAATCTACAGAATGTTCAAATGAGGTTTGTTTTGAGTGCTTATAGAATTAGAAAGGATTCTAATCCGGGCCCTCCTAATCCTGTATTTTAACATTATGTAAATTAGCATGGTGACATTTCCTTGAAGAAATGGTCATCACTCCCCTGATAGTCCTTGAAAAGAGGAAGGTTATTCTAATAGAAATTAAAAGACAAAGTGTTGAAATACAACATTGATGCCCCCAAAGAATTTGACACTTCATTTCCTCATGTTTTCTTTATCTAGTTTTATTAAGTGAATTTATTTATTTTCATTCAATTGCGGGCTGGAGCGATAGCACAACGGGTAGGGCGTTTGCCTTGCACTGGCCGAGGCGAGTTCTAATGATTCCTCCGCCCCCCCTCGGAGAGCCCAGCAAGCTACCGAGAGTGTCTCACCCACACGGCAGAGCCTGGCAAGCTACCCATGATGTATTTGATATGCCAAACACAGTAACAACAAGTCTCATGATGGAGACGTTACTGGGCCCGCTCGAGCAAATTGATGAACAACAGGAGGACCGTGACCTGACTCATTTAATTGCATTTGGTTTTGAGTTTTTATTTGTATTGTAAACTGTGTTGGAAAATAGCTAAGAGGAACCATGAAAATCATCTTAAGGTAGTTTTGCACTAATGTCCTTCAAATGATTCAGGAGAATAAGTCAGTAGTTCATTGATTTTAGGGTATAACTATAAGTGGCTCAGTTGATGTGTGTATACATGTAGATTTATATGCAGATATATAAAGTCACTTTGAATTGCAAAGTTATAAAGTTATTCGTGATTGAGTTTATATATAAAATAAGTTACAGAGTTATTTATAATTGAATTTATATATCACTTAATCACTTAACTTCCCGTTAGTTGGCAATTTGCTCGAGCGGGCGCCAGTAACGTCTCCATTTGTCCCTGTCGCGTGCTAGTGTAGCCCAATGGCATCTGTTCGCTCCGGGAACATGAAGGGCCTCAAACCGATCATTCATGATCTTGATGAAGAAGTCTGACCATCTGGTAGGTGGGCGGCCACGCAGTCTTTTGACATCCCGTGGAATCCAGTTGGTAACAGCTCTAGTCCAGCGGTCGTCTCTAAATCTCATTAAAAGACGACCGCTGGACTAGAGCTGTTACCAACTGGATTTATATATACATTGCTTTATAATTGCAGAGATACTGCACCCAGTCCTTCCCCCAGTGTTCCAGACCCCTCCAACGCTATTCCATAGTTTTCCCACATGACACACCTTTAGTTCCAAGTCCCGTTGATCATACTTCAGGCTTTGTTTCACTCTGTCTCTCTCTCTCATTTCTCTGTACTCCACATGTGGGTAAGAGCACCTGGTGTTTATCTTTCGGACTCACTTCACATCACAATACCTTCCAGTCCATTCAGGTTTCAGAAAATTGCAAAATTTCATTTTTTCTCGTAGCTGAGTAGTAGTCCATTGCCACAGTTTCTTTATCCACTTGTCTGTTGCCAAATACTTGGGTGGTTTCCAGATTTTGGCTATTTTACCTATGGTGTTGTGACCATAGGTGCATATGTGTCTTTTTAGATAAATGTTTTTGTATTCCAGGAGTGGAACTGCAGGATCTTCTGGAAGTTTGTTGGTAATGTTTTTTTTTTCTTTCTTTCTTTCTTTCTTTTTTAATTTTTGCTTTTTGGTTCACACCTGGCGATGCACAGGGGTTACTCCTGGCTCTGCACTCAGAAATCACTCCTGGCAGTGCTCAGGGGACCATATGGGATGCTGGGAATCGAACTTGGGTTGGCTGCGTGCAAGGCAAACGCCCTACCCGCTGTGCTATCTCTCTAGCCCCTGTTGGTAGTGTTTTGAGAGATATCCAAACCATTTTCTAGAGAGCCTGAACCATATAACAGTCTTATCAACAGTGACCGAGAGTTCCTTTTGCACTGCAGCCCTGCCAGCATTGATCATTTTGGTCTTTTTCATATAGACCATTTCAGTTGAGATACTTTTGTCTCAATTTTATTTAAAAATCATGGGTTCATTTTCCACTAGTTGAACCTCTCTCTCTCTCTCTCTCTCTCTCTCTCTCTCTCTCTCTCTCTCCCCTTCCCCCTCTTTATTTCCTGAATCAATTTTTTTAATTAGTGAAACACCATGAGATACAGTTGTAGACTTAGAAACTTTCGTGCTTCAGTTTCAATTATACAATGATCAAGTACCCATCCCTCCACTAGTGCCCATTCTCTACCACCAATGATCCTAGAAGCCCTCCCACCCCCACACCCCACCCCCCCGTACCCCACCCCGCCTCTGTAGCAAGGCATTCCATTTTGCTCACTCTTTCCTTTAGGGTGTTGTAGTTTGCAGTAGAGGTTTTGAGTGGCCATCGTGTTCGGTCTATGGTCTACTTTCAGCATGCATCTCGCATCCTGAGCAAGTCCTCCAAGCATCCTTTACTTGATGTTCTCTTCTCTATCTGAGCTGCCCCCAGCCTGTGAGGCTGACTTCTAAGCCCTGGAGCAGAACTCCTGGTACTTATCTCAATTATTCTTGGGTGTTCAACTCCCATTCTGTTACTTTATATTCCCCAGATGAGTGCAGTCTTTCTATGTCTCTCCAATTCTTTCTGGCTCATTTCACTTAGCATGATACTTTCCATATAGAACCACTTGTGTGTAAATTTCATGACTTCATCTTTTCTTACAGCTGCATAGTATTCCATTGTGTAGATGTACCAAAGTTTCTTTAACCAGTCATCTGTTCTTGGGCACTCGGGATTTTTCCAAGTTTTGGCTATTGTGAACAGTGCAGCAATGAACATAGAAGTGCAGATGTCATTCCAACTGTACTTTTTTGCCTCTCTGGGATATATTCCCAGGAGTGGTATTGCTGCGTCAAATGGGAGCTCAATTTCTAATTTTTTGAGAATCGTCCATACTGTTTTCCAAAAGGGCTGAACCAGTTGGCATTATTTCCTGAATCAATTTGTTATGCTTAATTTTTAATAAATTTTAAATTGTGGACATAAGCCTGCCAAATAGCTCAGCGCATATAGAACTTAATCTTGGTCTCTAGTGTTTCATTCCCCCTTAGTACTACTGGATGTGCCCTTGTGCCTCCACATTGCTGAGGTAACCTTTATAAAATAATGATAATTAAAATACATGAACACATTTTTATTCTTATTCTTAATCATTGTGTGCTAGCATTTGTACTTGTTAACCTGATATATATAGTGAAGGCCAAATGTGGCAGGAGATTTATGGTTTTAAATACATGATCCATTCTTTATCTGTATTGCCTGTGTACTGTCATTTTGAGGAATTTATCTTAATGAGTCCGACTTTCAGAAACACAGGGTTATACTTACGTATGAAAAGATTCCTAATAGATGGAGGATCTTACCAAGTCAGGATTATTATTATGCCAAGTAAAGGTGAGGGTTTTTTTGTTTGTTTTTTTAAATCATATGGTACCTTACAACTTCAGTCTTCTCAGATTTGGGTCGTAGGCCCAGTAAAAAATTAAAAATGAATAGGAGAGAGAATGTGAGGACATAGGCATAGAGGCTTTTTGGCTTGACTTTCTCTGGCACCATCAGAATCCAATGCAGCCAAGTTAACTGACCAATGTGTGGTTGGTGTCTTTGCAGGAGGGAGCACTGGCAGTTGCTCGGTAATTTGAAGACGACCGTGGAGGGTTTGGTGTCAGCCAACAGCCCCAATGTCTGGTCCAAGTATGGCGGCCTGGAGCGACTTTGCAGGGACATGCAGAGCATCCTCTATCATGGGCTCATCCGCGACCAGGTATGAAGATCTTCTTTTGTTTTGGCCAGATTCCCTGAATCTTTTGTTGGAAAGAAATAGTTGCATTAAGTTTTTAGTAGGGAGAAGATGATACTGCTAATTTATTTTAATTTGTTTTTGTTTTGGGGTCACACCCAGCGATGCTCAAGGGTTAATCTTGACTCTGCACTCAGGGATCACTCCTGCCAGTGCTCGGGGGACCATGGGGGATGCTGGGGATTGAACCTGGGTCAGCTGCATGCAACGCTAGTGTCTTACCTGGTGTATCATGCTGACTCCAAATGCTACTAATTTGAATTTATTAGTGTTGGTCTGTGATCCAAGAGGAAGGATATGAGTTCAAGCATGGGTGCAATTGGTGGCTGACGGCCTCCCAACAGTGACGGAAGGACAACAGACAAATGGACAAATGGGGCCACGGGCTAGTTGGTAGTCAGTGACTGTTTATTCAAGTCTAACAGTGTTATGTAGAAATCATGAAGGGTGGGGGTACACATACCATAACAATAAACAGAGGTAAAGCCGCTCCTTCAGGGGAATCTCTTCTAGGAGATTAGCTCAAGGACAAAATCTCATCTCTGGATTCAGCACTCCAAATTACTAGGAGATCTGCTCAAGGGTGGGATTCCATCTAGGGTGTATTGCTTTTTCCTTTCCTCAACTAGTAATCCATTTAAAAATTCATAGTAAATTTACTTTTCACTAATACTTTTAGTCATTTTGTATGGGCACAGTAAGATATATTGAGCTTAAAGGGTGGCTCTTCCTGGGCACATCTCACTATATATCCCAGACCACAGTCCTCAGGCCAGGTTAGTCTTTCCTAACCCCAGAAGGGTCCTTTTACAGTTAACTTCTTTTTGGGTCATGACAGACTTTGTCCCATGACTGTGCTCTTAACTTATTATATATCTTATGGTGCTTCGTTTAGCTTGTCCCTTTTCGATGCCAGGGTAGCTTTTGGCTTGCCCTGGGTCCATCCACATCCCTCACAGGTACCAGCTGTTTGGGGGTGTTAGGAAGTAAGGGCAACTGAGGCTTAAGTCAGGTAAGTATGATTGATGTCCAGGAGTAAATATTATTCAGAGCCAATTAACTCCTATCTTACAAAAGCATAGCACCCACTGTCTTCTGTGTCTATACAAAAAGGACATTGCTAAACCATGCAAGTGACATAGAGGAAAGAGAACAGCAATGTAGGATTATTAGTGCCTGATGGAATTGGGTGTGCCTCAGGGGCATTGTGATGGGTACAACTCAGTAAACCTAAGTTCCCTGCAGCAGGAGCAAGAAACAACCCAGTGTTACCCAACAGAAGATATTCATATCAGATTACTGAAATTTTACTCATAAGAGTGTTCTGGAACACATTGAGAAATATTTACAAAATTGTCATTTTGGGGGCTGGAGAGATAGCACAGCGGGTAGGGCGTTTGCCTGGCATGCGGCCGACCCGGGTTCGATTCCCAGCATCCCGTATGGTCCCCTGAGCACCGCCAGGAGTGGCTCCTGAGTGCAGAGCCAGGAGTAACTCTTGTGCATCGCCAGGTGTGACCCAAAAAGCAAAAAAAAAAAAAATTGTCATTTTGTGGCCATCAAGAGATGGCTCAGCTGGCCAAGAGCACATTTGCATGCAGGGGGCCCAGATTCCACCTCTAGGACCATGTGATCCCAGCACTGCTGGGAGTGACCCGGAAGCACAGAACCAGGTGTAGCCTGCAAGGACTTGCTTGGTGTTGCCCCTAAACCAAGCCAAGCCAAAGCAAAACCAAAGAAAATATTGTCTTTTTTAAGGGCTGAGGATGTAACTTGGGAGCACGTGAATGATCAACACCAAACCTTGGTTTGATCCCTAGTACAGCACTCCACCCCCACCACCAATATTGTCGCTTCTTAAAATAGCTTAAGGTTCATTCTGTAGACAAACTGTATGCCTATAAATGTCAGTTTTGGTTATAACTTTAATTTTTTTACCACTCCTTTTTGTTTGTTTGCCCCACGAGGGGTCAGGGCTTATTCCCGGCTCTGCACTCAGGGTTCTCTCCTGATGAGCCTCAGGGGACCATGCAGGGTGCTGGGGATTGAACCCAGGTTGGCCACTTGCAAGGCAAACACTCTACCTGCTGTACTATTGCTCGGCTCAGAGCTTAATTTAAAAAAATATCAGTCATGGGAGATAGTACAAAGGTTTGGCTGCGTGCCTTGTGTGAGACTGATCCTCGTTCAATTTCTGTCGCTACATGATCCCATGGGCTGGAGTGATAACACAGCGGGTAGGGCATTTTTGTCTTGTACACAGCCAACCTGGGTTTGATTTCTCCGTCTCTCGCGTAGAGCCCGGCAAGCTACCAAGAGTATCCTGCCCACACTACAGAGCCTGGCAAGCTCCCTGTGGCATATTCGATATGCCCAAAACAGTAACAACTAGTCTCACAATGGAGACGTAACTGGTGCCCACTCAAGCAAATCAGTGAACAACAGGAGGACAGTGCTACAGTGCTAATGATCCCCTGAGCATCTCTGGGTATAGTCCTGGTCCTTACAGTTCTTTGAGCACTTCCAGAGTGGCCTGGGGAATCCCTGGCACCCAGCAGCCTCAAACCCTCCCATTGAACCTAGGATTGGTTTGGCCAAGTGTTGCATGAATATTCGCTCAGTTGGAGGTGCTGAGATAAGGAACACCAGAGAAATTATTTTTCACAGGGGGGACCCAGATTCTCTCAGATCCTGTGACAAAGGTAGAGCGTCCTTAGATCTCCTTTTATTTCCTCCTCTGTCAAAGAAGTTCAGAAATTTGGAGGAACATTGAGGCATTAATGCATACATTGTTTTCTTATGTCCCCAAACCACTTAGTTTCAACCCTCAGGAAAGGAATACAAAGCCAAATGTTCTGACCTGTAAGTTACAACCTCAAGCACCCGGGGTCAAGCTGGGTCTGGAGTCATGCTGGGTCTGTGAGAAGAGGAAGACTGACTCCTTCGTTACACTAAGATTTAGGTTATTTACTGAAGGTAGCTTAAAGAAAGATTTGTTCAGCCTCATCCAAACCAGTCTTGACACACGAGTCTTGTCTCGCCCATTTTCATGGGTCTCTTGTTCCTGCCTGTTTGCGGGACAATCTCCACAGGCTCATCCTGATGGTCTAGCCCGGCCCCAAAAGCTAAGAATTGATGGGATGGCTCTGGACCCCCTGAACACTGCTTGGAAAACCCTCCAAAAATGACAAATGTTTACTATTGGTGTTGAGACCTTCTAAAGATTCTTAAACCTCTAATAAACTGTGACTATTAAAAAATGAGTGGAATCTAATAATATTAGTTTCAGCTTTATCATTGTTGGTTATCCACATTAATAGTGTTTTAAATTAGGTTTTGATGCTGAATAAAGTTGTCAAATGAGTTATTGAGGCTACTAACCTCACACTTTTACTAAGTCAGCTTTCACAGCTAAGAGCATAATCCCATGTCCCTAAATATTCAATCTTTTCCCTTCACTGGGACTAATCTTCCCTGGAGCTCTTTTCCCTAACCAGGCTTATTTTTCATAGAATTTATTCTGAATTAGCGTCACATTGGAAAATTCTAATTAATGAATGTTAAATTATATTCTAGGGCTGGAGCGATAGCACAGCGGGTAGGGCATTCGCCTTATAAGCGGCCAACATGGCCGACCCGAGTTCGATTCCTCCACCCCTCTCGGAGAGCCCGGCAAGCTACCGAGAGTATTCGATATGCCAGACACAGTAACAACAAAAGTCTCCAATGGAGACGTTACTGGGCCCGCTCGAGCAAATCGACGATCGGGCCTGTAAATTATATTCTAGGGCTGGAGCGATAGCACAGCGGTAGGGCATTTGCCTTGCACGCAGCCAACATGGCCGACCCGAGTTCGATTCCTCCGCCCCTCTCGGAGAGCCTGGCAAGCTGCCGAGAGTATCTCGCCCACACGGCAGAGCCTGGCAAGCCACCCGTGATGTATTCGATATGCCAGACACAGTAACAACAAGGTCTCCAATGGAGATGTTACTGGGCCCGCTCGAGCAAATCGATGAACAACGGGAGTGCCTCGAGCTCGAGCAAATTATATTCCATGATAGGACTTACAGTGGCCCACCTAAAACATGTGCATACTACTTCTGGATAATATCTTTGAACCAATAATTTTTTAAATTACACTTAATTTTTTAATTAATATATCATGATTTGCAAAGTTATTCATAGTTTGTTTTAGACATGCAGTGTTCCAGAACTAGTCCAGCGCCAGTGTCCGCTTCCCTCCACCAGCATTCCCAACTTCTTTCCCTCCATCCTCTTCACCCTCCAGCATACTTCTTGATGGGCACATTTTTTTGTTTTTGTTTTTGTTTCTTTTGTTTTGTTTTGTTTTGACCTCCGGGACCCAGCCAAAGCCATGCTGAGACCACTCTCCACATGCTTGGATGAGCCTCACTTATAAAGGAATCAGTCCAGGTGTGCAGGACCCATTATTCCATGCTAATAGATTTTTTAGGAGTTCTCCCTAACAGTGCTCGGGGCCCAGGCATCACTGTTGCCAATGCCGTGCCCAGCTGTGCTGTCAGGAGACTTGGTTCTCAGGCCTGGGTGCGCCAGGGCCTCCCTGGCAGTGCCTGGAGGACGGTGTGGTGCTGGGTATCAAAACTGGACTCTGCGAGCAAAGCATTCCTCACGGCCCTTCCATTCATCACCAGCACCCTCAGTCATTTATTGTGAATATTTTTCATTTCCTTGGTAAGTGGGTCTATATCTGGATTTATGCTGTGTTCTGTTCTCTGTTTGTGTACCAGTAGTAATTCAGCATTTTTTTTTCAGTTGTGTGTGTGTGTGTGTGTGTGTGTGTGTGTTTGGTAGAGGGGCTGGGGGGAGTTGGGGAGTGTTTGAGCCACACCTGCTGTGCTTTGGGCATATTCCTGGCTCTTTGCTCAGGAGTCACTTCTGGTGGTGGTGTGGTACTGGCCACTCAGCCTGAGTTGGCTGTGTGCGAGGCAAGTGCCTGAGCACTGCACGGTCTCTCGGCCCACTAGCATTCAGTTTTAGTTATTGTTGGTTTTCATTATGGTGTGAGAGGTACCTCTCAGGTGGTAGCTTCTATTGTGTTGTTGAGTTTCTCTCTAACGCACAGACATTTGTCCTTTCTTATTGACCACCACATATTTTTTCAGTAAGGATAGGAAGGTATAAAGGACTTTAAAATGCGTGCCTTTATTACTTTTTGATTTGTAATTGTGCTTTTCTATGTTGAACTTTTTTTTCTCTTTAAGAAATCTAATATTAGGGCCACAGATAATAGGGTTTTAGGTGCTTGCTCTGTATGTGGCTGAATCTGGTTTGACTCCCACCACCTCCAGGCCCCGAGTCAGAAGGGACCACCAAGCTGGGATTAGTACCTGAGCACTATTGAGTGTGGCACCAAAACCAAACCAACACAGTACAAAACAAAAAATCCAGTGTCTTGCGGTCAAAGCAAAGAGAGTATGAAGCTGACTCTGGAGGTTGTACTTCCCCACACTGAGCCCACTAGGGTGGCCAAGAATTGCCAGAAGGTCCAAAACAAACCAAACACAGTCTGCCTTGCCCCCACCCAATCCAATATCCTTACACTTTGTTTTCTTTTGCTGGATTTGAAAAATAAAACAAATTCGTTTTGTTGCATGGGTGGGTTGTGGAGAATGCTTATGTGATCGACTTCTACCTAGAAAATAATAGTTTATCAAAAGGCATCAATTTGCCTAAATTTTTTGGGGGGGATGGGGTTGAGTGGGAGTTCTCCCAAGCAGCGCTCAGGGTGCCTAGGGCCAGCTGGCCAGCTGGGCTGGGAAGGCCAGTGCAGACTGCTGCATCCCTGCGGTGCTGAGGATGGCCAGGACCACATTCATGGTGCTTGGTGGATGGGAAGGAAGCGTATGGCGCCAGGGACTGAACTCAGGTTTGCCCCGATCTCTCCCCAGCCTAGTTTTTCTAAATTTTTATAAGTTTTAAAAATAACAGTTCTAGTTCTCAGCAACAATAAGGGGGAACAATAAGGAGATTTCCCACCAGCTCCCGACCTTCACTCACGCATGACCTCCCCCAGCAAGGTACACACTTGCTACAGCTGATGAAGTGGCAGGGGCACGTCATTGTTAACCCAGAGTCCACATTTTACCTGACCCGTCAGAGTCATGTAGAATGCTTTTACTCAAAGTCCTCTCCACTTCGTGCTTCCCCAAACCCAGCCACTTACCTTTTTAGTGTCTCCATAATTGGGCCTTTTTCATAGTGTTCTTATTGAAATAATAATATAAATAGCTTGTTACGATCAGTTTCTTTTGTTTTTCTTGTTTGGGGGCCATATCCAAAATGTTCAGAGCTTTCTTCTGGCTCTGTGTTCAGGGATCATTCCTTGATGATGCTCAGGGACTGTATGCATCACCAAGGATTAAACCAGGGTCCACCACAAGAACCTTACTCCCTATTCTGTCTCACTGGCCTCCAGATGTGTATTTTGTAAATACTTTTTTTCTCGTCTATCGAGTCCTATCTCTGGAATTAATAAGTGAGACTCCCTATTTCATTTCTGAGTTTTCTTCAGATTTTGTTTGGAGAAGTCAAGATGCTTTTCGCATAGGAATGCCATTATCAGGAGAAGTGCTGGGGTTGGTAGCCTACTGAGCAGGCCGTAGCCTCTCAGTTACAATCCTCTAAAGCCAGTTGGATTGTAATTTCAGTTGGAATGGCACTTTCGACCTCTGACCAGTGGAGGTAAGTCACGGAGAATGAGACAGACACATAAGGAGACAAGCAAACACAAAAGGACTGTCCAAGCACTAGAATTCCCCCTCTGGCAATAAGTGAGTGCCCAGGCTGGCCACTTATTTGATACAGTGTTGCTTCCCTACCACCATTCCATTACGTGAATTATTGTTTAAGTGGCCAGAGTTAATAAGGATGGTTAATAAGCTCACCAAAGATCAGTGGGTACAGAGACTGGGATGTTTGACATAGCCAGAGAGTCTGCATCCTCAAGCTTAGAGAAAGGTCCTAAAAGTTTACTGTTCGCTGTCTTCCCTGTTGTCCTCTGCATCTAGAAGACCCTATCCTTTTTCTGTTATTTCCTGGGTGCATTTTTTGCTACCCATTTATATTCTAAGACATAAGCAGTTTTTGCCCCAGGGACTGTCCTGACTTCGAGATTATAGTTGGGGACAATTCCACACAACCTCTAGGCCTGCTGCCAGCATGCTGAAGGCTCTCATAGCTGGCAAACAGCATCTGAGTGTTCTCTTCTCACCTGTATCTTCCTACACTAGCTGAGAGGCCCTTTGACTTTTGAGTTGCTCCTTGGATCATATATCAAGTTGTAGTATATTTTATTGTATGTCTCCGTGATTGGTCTGTCTCTTAATAGGCTAGTTCTATATTTTAAAACTAAGTGGATTTCAGTTTTTTTTTTTAATTATTTATTGAATCACTGTGGGAAAGGTTACAAAGCTTTCAGGTTTAGGTCTCAGTCATGCAAATATCAAACACATTTCCCTTTACCAATACTTATTTTTTACCATGAAGAACCCCAATAAAACCCCACCCCCCACCCCTCCCCGTCCCTGTGAGGCAGATGAATTCTAGTTAACACTCTATCTGCTTTGATTAGATTCATTGTTTCAATAAAAGATTCACCACTATTATTTAGAGTTTACCGCCCCCCCCAAATCAGACATGCTGAAAAAGCATTGTGAAGTGATTTGCTTTCTACAGCTGGGTTCAAGAATTAGATGTTGGTTTTGGATTTCTGCTATTTTACCTATTGACCCTGGAAGTATTTCTACTGAAAGTCAGATAGTTAAGAAATTGGTTTCTGTGTTCTGGAGTCGTGGCCGTGCTGGAGAGCCGCTCGTGGGGGCAACTGGTGGCCTCGGTAGGGCGTGAAGGGCGGACCGAAACGCCCCCCTTCCCATGAGGTTTTAGTCGCCCCCACACTCCCGGCTCATACCTGCTGTCCACAAGGCTCCCATGTGGCCGCCATCTTTCTTTCCAGAGAGGAGAGGGCGAATGGGGCAACACCCTTGTGGATTTCAGTTTTAAGTTACACTCAGAAGTTATTTTTTCTCAAAAAAAAAAAGACCTAATTATTTTCATGATATCAGTGTTTGCTTTCATGTTTAGAGCTCTTCCAGTATAAGACTATTTTATCTAGACTGAGTATCTTTTTTTTAAACTAAATTCAGCCCCTCTTTGGCCTAGGTAAGATGGGTGGAGGTTATTTGACTATTTGATTCATTTTCAATGTATCAGTAAGAACTGAAGATGTTGATCTCTGACTTTTTAAAATAACCCTTTTTCAGTTTTAGGAATTTACTTCTCGGAAATCAAATTGTAGAAAAACAAGAGAAAACCAGGTTTTTTCACTATATAATGTATATGACTTTTATATCATTTTTTATCTGTCCAAAAGAATGATTAAAACCAAATGTAATTATTTTGTTTGCTTTTGGATCACAGCCACAGGCTCACTTATGGCTCTGTGCTCAGGAGAGTGTGTGTATGTGGTGCCAGGGCTTGAACTGGGCCTCTCTGTGCCTGGCAATACTTACTGTGTTCTCTCTGCAGTCCCTTCAGGGATGTCTTAATGGTCATGTGTTATGTATTCCTTTGATTGCTGCCAAGAACCTTTGAGGAAGCAAGGAAAGCGATGTTTCTTTGTCAACTCCAGAGCTAGATGTGGTCCTCAGTGGTTCCACTTTGTTCTTGTGTGTTTCTGTAGCAGGTGTGCTGCCGTCAGGCTGATTACTGGCAGTTCGTGAAGGACATACGCTGGCTCAGTCCCCACTCAGCCCTTCATGTGGAGAAGGTAAGAGACAAAGTAAGGATTCCTCACTTCCCTGTTTAGTGTTCTGGTGGAAGAGTCTTGTAGCTAAAAGGATGTTGTGTATCAAGTCTGCTATTATCTGAGAATAGGAAATTATCCCTAAGGACTGACTTTTGGAGGGGAAGATTATTCACTCTAAAATTCAGCCTTTAGGGGCCAGGGAAATAACTCAAAGACCAGGGGTTCATACCTTGGCACTGTATACCCCCAGCCCAAACACTGTCCATGTGACCCTTAGGGACCCGGAGCACCATGCAGGTGGCCCCAGCACCACGACCCAGGTTGGAAGCTTCCCCAAGAAAAACAAGTAAGCAGGCAAAAAATCTTACAGACACAATTGCTCCCTTGCTCTGGAGAAAGCTTTTCTGTTTCCAAAAATATTTGCATTTATGGGATCATAGTGAAGCTTTTCAAAATCCAAGGAAATGGCAAGAGATTCTCTAGAGTGGCTGGGTGAAAGGAGACTGTTTTGCTGGTTACTGTTTAGATGAGTATTCAGGGTTGGACAGTAACTTGAGCCTTAGGGAGGCCAGTGTTCTTGAGAGAGTAGCTGTCCTGTGCTCAAACCTGTCCTCCAGCTGAGCAGAGCAGCCCTGAGTCCACTCAGGGAAACTGGGCCAGGAGGTCAGGTGACGTGGTCAGTTACAAAGCCACTTAGCACCTTTATCTTTCTTTTATTTTTTATTTATGGGAAAATTTCTATCACAGAATCACTGTCACTGTCCTCCCATTGTTCATCGATTTGCAAGCGCCTACCTGCTGTGCTACCGCTCCAGCCCATGGAAAATTTCACGATAGCACAGCGGTAAGGCGTTTGCCTTGCACGCGGCCAACATGGCCGACCCGAGTTCGATTCCTCCGCCCCTCTCGGAGAGCCCGGCAAGCTACCGAGAGTATCTCGCCCGCACGGCAGAGCCTGGCAAGCTCCCCGTGATGTATTCGATATGCCAAACACAGTAACAACAAAGTCTCCAATGGAGACGTTACTGGGCCGCTCGAGCAAATCGATGAATAACAGGAGGACGGTGATCAGTGATCAGTGATATTTAAAATTACAGAGAACAGCAGAATGAATATTGCCTACCATCTCTGGTATTTGCTGTATGCAACCCATCTTGTTTCATGTATATCTCATCTCTGGTCAAGTACACTGATGAATGCCGCAAGAAAAGTCTTTTTTGTTTGTTTTTGCTTTGGGAATACACATGGTGGTGGCTATTCTTGGCCCTGTACTCAGAGGGAAGAGTTGGGGTGCCAGGGAGCAACCCTGAGTTAGCAGCATGCAAGGCAGGCCCCTTATTTTCTATACTGTCTCTCCCATCTCCAAATTCTCTGTTTTTGGGGGGGTGTCACACCCAGTGATGTACAGGGGTTATTCCTGGCTTTGCACTCAGGAATTACTCCTGGCAGTGCTCAGGGGGCCAAATGGGATGCTGGGAATCGAACCCTGGTCAGCCGCGTGCAAGGCAAACGCCCTCCCCACCCTGCTATTGCTCCAGCTCCAGGTTGTTTGTTTTTGTATTAGGGCCACATCCAGCTGTACTCAGGGGCTATTCCTGGCTCTGTGCTCAGGCTCAGTCCTAGTGGGTGTGGGGAACCATATGTAGAGGTGCGGGTCGAACCCTGGTTGACTGCTGGCTAAGCGGGTGCCTCCCTGATGTACTATCTCTGGCCCTGAAAAGTCGTTTGTTTTTACGTGATGAGAGAACCAAATCACAGGTATTAGATTGACCTTTGATTTTCTTACAAAGATTTCTGTGTCCTCGCTTTTTTTTCCCACATCAACTCCCCCTCCATCAACTGCCTTTTCTGCAGTATATTGCAATAGTCATTTTCTCTTAGAAACTGTCTGAAATTGCCCTGGTTTTGTGTTTGGTTGTTGTTTTGTTTTTGTACTATCCTCGACTGTGAGACCTTGCTTTGAGAAATGACAGGGTAGAAGGAGCTCCAGATAGAGAATGCTGCGACTAGAGGCAAAAGTCGGGTTATTTCTTCATCGGCAGGCTTTTCCCCGAGACCCGACCTCCCAGGTTTTTCTGACATTTTTTCCTGGCGGTGACTTGGAAGAAAGCACTCAGAGCGGCCGGAGAAGTCAGGCCCACCCTCCCCTGAGTACCCCGAGGAGTCGGAGCAGGAGGCCGGGTCAAGTGGCGGAGGCCTCTCCTGGGGCCCATCAGCCTTGTTTCCCTTCCCCTCTCCAGGAGCCAGGAGATGCTTGCTGGAGAAAAACATGCCCTGGTTGCCTCCTCTTACCGCTCTGGATTTGTCCTCCGATCATTCAGTCTCAGCCTTGAGTATTTGCCAGGAGACCTGTTTTGACTTTGACTTTTTTGTCGCCCAGTTCATTGACCTGCACGAGAATGAGCAGAGCAGCACCAACGGGGAGGATGAGCGTGCCGTGGCTGAGCTGTGGCTGCAGCACAGCCTGCAGAGCCACTGTCTCTCGGCCCAGCTCCGGCCCCTGCTCGGGGATAGGCAGTACATCAGGAAATTCTACACAGGTGGGTCAGACACGCCGAGGCTTTGCTCTTCCGTGTGGACTCCTCCTTTCCGATCCTCACTTTCACTTAGTGCGTTAAAGAGTCCATCAGAAATATGTCTGTGGTCTTTCCATCCTGTGAAACACAGCCCAGCACGACGCTATGTATCCTGCCACTTTGACGCATCCAGACTAGGTTTGCTGTGTGCCCATCACAGTTTTGCAGCAGCTCTGACAACTGGGTGTGAATCCCCATGTAGTTCAGCCAAGAAGCAGAGGTCAGGGGTCAGATGCACCGACGTCAAAGCCGCTGGCCGTGGCCTCCCTGCTGTATTGCACACTACGTGGACCTCCGTGTGCTTGTCTCCATGTCGTTCTCTGATTCCGCTTCTCTTCATAGTTGCATGATTCTCAGATCATTTCTACATTTTCCCTTCTCCTTGCCTGAACTTCTCCACGAGCCTACATGGAATCTACACAGGCTTCCTTACTGGGGTCACTTTTCTCTCCGCAGAGACTGCTTTTCTGCTAAGCGACGCACACGTCACAGCCATGCTTCAGTGCTTAGAAGCCGTGGAACAGAACAACCCCCGTCTCCTCGCTCAGATTGATGCTTCCATGGTAAAGGGGGCAAGGAAGGGTCTGTTTCTCTGCTGGGCTCCCAATCCTCTCAGTAGCAAACTGTCTCTTCACTGGGGCTGAAATCTTTTATTTAAGGAGCTGAAATCTTACATTTAAAAAACAAACAGCAACTTGGTCAAGTACAGTAAGTACCTATTGAAGTCAGAGGTCTAAAAGTAAGTCTATTTGAGAAGGAAGATGTCTATTTTTTAAAAAAAACTCTTTTTAAAAATCCTTCGTCTAAATACTTCCTCAAGTGCAAACTTGACAGAGAGTTGGGAAAAATAGGGATGATTTTGAATCAAGTGTATCTAGCATGTTGGGCCTTAATGTAGAATTACATAGAATCATTTTTGCCCTTGAAGTCTACAGAAGTGTCGTTGCTTGATGAGGTTTGGTACTAACCTTATCCTGTAAAACTGCTTCACCTAGAGGAAATAATTCTCTCCTCCTTTCCAGGGATCCTGAATCTACCCTGGTTTTCGAATTTCGATTCTTGGTTGCCATCTGTTGAATATTTTCTAGGGCCAGGCATGATGCTATGCATAATGCACGCCTAAGTAATCTCATTTAATTAATTCAAATTTGTAGGATAGGCATTTGTAAAAAACTAAGCACGCTGAATTTAGGTTGTGTGTTCGCGGGCTCTCTGGACGCTGGACGGCTCTATCTCACCGCCCTAGAGCCACTGTGTGTGGCCTAGATCGGGAGGGCTGTTGGCCAAGGGCAGACAAAGGAAGAGACGAGGGCCAGGCCGATTGATCTTTGTAGCAGTTTTATTACAAGGAAGTTTATCCCATAGAAGAAATTTATGTTATGGAGGGCCTAGGTTCTCTCAAGCACTTGTTCTCCTTAATAGTCTCTCCGTGGTCCATCTCGCAGCCCTGCTCTCTCTTTCTCCAGCTCCACTCTAGCCTGGGCTGACACTCCACCTGTCAGGTAGCCAAATCAACATAAGAAAGCCTTTCCTGACTGCCCCAGGCAAAATACCTCCTTAAGGTGTTTTTCTCTTTTCCGTAGTCCAATAAACTATCAACTATTCCTGAGGCTATGCAGGAAGGTCAGAACAATGTTATCCTACAGGCATTAGTTTCATTTAATAAAGGAGTAGGCAAGTCTCTGATAAAGATTTGGATTGAATAGTTTTTAAGTGATAGGACTTGGATTTGAACTCTGGTCTCTCTGACTCTGTTCGTGGTTTTGAGCAGTCTTTGTTCTGCCTTTATGATCAAGCATTCATGCATTCATGTTTTGCCACATACTGAAGGTGCTAGTAGCAGGTCTTCAGGCGTGGTCTACAGCCTGGCCACGGCCCCAGCTGGGAGAGGCCGGCGTCCTCAGCATTCCTGTGGTGCAGAGTGCTGCTCTCCAAGGGCTCTGTCCTTGGCTGTGACCGTGGCTTTCTGCTCTGCTTGTAGTTTGCCGGGAAGCAGGAGAGCCCGCTGCTCACCACGAAGAGCCAGAGCCTCACGGCCCTGCCTGTCTCCACACGTATGCCCCTGCCCGGCGGCACCCAGCCTTCCTACTTTGGGTCCTTCTCTGGCCTCCAGCCGGTCTCCAACAACAACTCAGGTAGGGGGACAGAGAGGGACAGTCACAATTAAGCCTGCGGTGTTCCCGGAAAGTAGAGATCTGGTGGGTTACCAGCAGTGGGCTATATACAGGTCTGTATAGGTTTTGTCAGATGCCACATTTTAATGTGGTATATCTAAAAAGTTATAGAAAACTGAATTAGGATAATTATTTAATCATTGAAGTAGCAGAAGAGAGATGTTTATAGATCTTGAACTCATTGCCAGGAGGCATTTCAGTAATAATAGCTGATTATTGAATGCTGACTATGTGTCACATTCTGTTGAATTATTTCATATATTTCATTTTACTGGATCCTCAGACCTATGAAGAGGTATTACTCAGTGTTCATTTAATTAATTTTTTAATTTAAACTTTGTTGTTGCTTTGGGGCCACACCCAGCAGTGCTCAGGGCTTATTCCTGGCTCTGCGCTCAGGCCTCGATCTTGGCGGCTTCAAGGGACCGCCCATGCTGAGGATTGAGCCCAGGCTGGCCACGTTCAAGGAATGACCCTGTCCTCAGGGCTATCTCTCTGGCTCCCGGTGCTTATTTACAGAGGAGGAATTCTGCTAATGAGCACTGAAGCTGCCATCTCAGAAGCGCATGCTCTTGGCCTCCTTGCAACTCAGTTTCCCTCCTTCAGGCTCCCTGCTTACCATTTGTCCTGCCTGTGTCAAAGCAGTGGGGGGTTGGGTCTTCATTTGTGGAGATGCCTTTTATTTGTGACTGAAGGATTTCATCACACCTTTCTTTTCCCTTTTTTCTACCCTAGAAAGAAGATCTACTTCCTTTTCACTTTCCAGTCCTCCCCAGGAGCCCCAGGAGACCAGAGGACACAGCTCACCCACAGAGGACCAGACCCCCCAGGCCCCGCTGCTCCCGGTCTCTCCTGCAGCCAGGGAGTCCCTCTCCACCCCACAGGAGATGAGCTCCAGCACCCTGACCAGCCCCACTGAGGCATCCTGGGTCAGCAGCCAGGACGAGTCTCCGAGTGAAGCCAGTGAGGGGCCTGAGTACTTGGCCATTGGGAACCTGGACCCCCGAGGCTGGACCGCCCGCTGTCAGAGTCTCGGTGGCAGTGAGGAGAGCAGTAGCTCCCAGAAGCTGGAGTCGGCGGCTGCTTCCCCCGGGGACCAGGAGGGAGGCGGGCAGAGCCAGCTGCCCAGCGTCCTGCGCAGGTCCAGCTTCTCAGAGGGACAGATTCTCACCGTTCCCAGTGGAACAAAGAAGAGCCACACTCGCTCCCATTCAGACACCAACATTGCCTCCAAGGGAGCCCCAGGTAACTGCAGTGACGAGCTCTTAGCGGCAGCTTCCTCGGTGCAGTGGGGAGTTGGTTTTGAAAGGTCTTTAGATGACGGACAGAGACAGGTTTGTGAAGACACGATGGGCATGCTGCTCAGAATGAGAAGTGTGCAGTCCGTTATGCATACCCAAGAAATCTCTCAGAGTATGTCCATTCCTTTGTACATGACTGAAGAGAAAGCACTGTCCTGGATTCTTCAGCAGTTTCTATGCATTAGGGCTTAGAGCAACTCATCATAGTTTAAATTTTAACAACATTTCTCAGGAGAATTAAAAAGAATTCCATGTTAGAGAAGTAGGACAGGGGCTAAGGCACCTGTCTGACATGCAGCTGACCCCAGTTCCATCCCTGGTACCACATCAGGTCCTTGGAGCCCTGCCTGGAGTGATCTCTGAGCACAGAACCAGAAGTAAGCCCTGAGCACCACTGGGAGTGGGCCCCCCTAACCACCGCCCCTAAATAATTCCATTAAATCCCCCCTCCTTGTGATTTCTGAGAACTTTGGCCAGGATATCATATCATGAGAGAGGCAGAGCCATAATAACAGGGCTTCCTCATTAAAGTCAGGGGCATAGTGAGTGTGGCACAGTGACGTGTTTTAGTGAGTGGTTGGACTGGTCGCTCTGCCAGTAATTCAGTTGGCCGGGCAGTGGGTTAGAGGCCCTGGCCACAGATTCCCCACAGGACTGCTCACAGTCAGGGCTGGGGAAGGTGGGTCTTGTTCCTTTGCTGCCTGCCATTATCTTTTCCGTGTGGATGATATCTGACAGGACTTGGTTGGGTTTCCTTTGAAGGAGAATCTGCATAAATAGCCAGTACAACCTGTGTGTCTGAACTCAGAGCTAGGTGAGGGTGAAGAGTCCCACCCAGGATAAAATACTTCCAAAATTCCACAAAAGGAGGATTCTTTAGCAACCAAGGCTGCCATTTCTTTTTCTTGGTAATTCTAGAAAGATGAGAGTTAAGGCACTCCTCTCAGATAGCTCAGTGATTTTTGTTTCTGTTTCCCTTTCAACAGTATGATTTGACTACCTGGAACAGATTTGACTACCCCTCCCAAATCACTGCCCATCTCCCAGGGGCTTCCTTTGGTGTGAAGGGTCCTGGCTTAGAGCCTTCTTTCTCCCCTGCTTCCAGGCCACAGGTTTGAGCTTGGGGGATGTCTGCCCCATTCTCAGGGCCGTGTGGATTCCAGAACCTCAGTGACCTGCTTGGGGAGAGGCGCCAGGGCACACTTACACTTCCATAGCGGGGCCTGAGGGGGGGGGGGTCTTGGTCATGTGTGACCATTCACAGGGTCGTCCCTCCTTCAGCACTAGGGTTCTCTTTCAGGAGTCCCCACTCTGTGAGAGAGAAGCTTACTCTTTCTCCCTCTCTGTATTCCCATTCCCTCTGCACTCGCCTCTGTGCCTGTCTGTCCACATACAGGAGGCCCTGGGAATGTCACCACCATAGTTGAAGATCCCATTGCAGGTTTGGGAGCTGGTGCTTCTCCTTTCTGTCTGTCTGTCTGTCCCTCCTCCTGTTCCTCTGTGGCCACCCTTCTCAGTGTACAACATCCCTTTCCATTCTGGTGTCAGATGAAGTCTGGTCCAGCTGGGAAGCTTGGGCCTTACTGTAAAAATTGTGCACAAATTGTGCACAAAATGTTTTCTGTTTTACAAGCTTGGGCCTTACTGTAAAAATTGTGCACCAAATTGTGCACAAAATGTTTTCTGTTTTACAACTTCCAAATGTCTTGTCCAGTCTCCCAAAAGCCTCCTGGAGGCAGACTTACCAATTCTGTTTTGTCCAAAAGTGAACAAGGCTTTCTGTTTGTCCAAAGCATCTTGATAAGTCCCTGGCACAGTTTTTTTCTAACTAAACAGTAACAATGAATCATTTGATTCTCCTTGCATTAGCACCAGAATGTGTCCTCTCCCTTTTCTGTGGTCTTGGGTATAAGTGCATGTTCTGTTTTTCTTGTTTGCTTTTTTTTTGGGGGGGGGTGGTATTCTTTGTCTTGCCTATAGTCCCATTTCCTTTATTCTTTCATCCAGCTTCCTTACCTTGTAAGACAGCCCTCCCCTGCTCCATCCTAGCTGTTGCACAGATTTTTCTAGTCACTTAAAGTCTATTTCTTAGCTTTTCATTGTGGTGTTCTCATTGTGTGATGTGTACCTTATTTTGGGTACCATCATTCACAGATTGTTAGGTCTAGAAAGTGTCTGCAAAACAGTGGTGAAGGAGAGCTGAAAACTAGTGCCTGATAATGAATGAAGCTGCCAGGGAAACTAGCTTAGAAGAGGGGAGATTAAAGAGTAATAAGTCTGTGTCCTCATTTAGAAGAGCGTTGTATGTCAGGAAATGAGAACTTGTGAGAAAGATTTCAAGTGAGTACAAGAAAATTCTAAGAATTAGAACTGTCCTGCTGAATGCACAGCAGAGACCGCTGTGTGGTGAGGGAGTAAGGTGCAGTGTTGGAATGTGCGTTGGGTCGTTTGGGACAACTGAAGTCCTTTCAAAGTCATGGATGTTTAACAAGATGTTTAGTGGCCACTGATTTGTCTCTGGTTCAGTAATAAGGAGCAGAACTCTGGTAGGACTAAATTATTTGAAACCTAAGACGAGTTACTTCTTACCGTGTGGTGGCGATTTTGGCGAGAGAAGTATCTGACAAGGGAATCCATCTGTCAAGGAAATGGGTTGGATGCAACATCCCAAGTTCACACTCTTGGCACAACCTGCTCATTTCTCAGGCTGCACCTGACTTTCTGCCAGGTCTTTCTCTGGCACCAGGCATTTTGTTTTTCCCTCAGAGAAGGTCAGTTTCTGCCTCCTGTGAGCCCTGTTGGAAGGTTTTCACCCTTGGCTTATGTAGCACTGCTTGATGCTTTTAAGGTCTTTGCTGGGTTTGTTCTTGTTCTCCTGACTCAGAAGTGTGTTGGATTTGTGGGTATAATCCAGTTTGCTTGGAAAGAGGCTATGTCCTAGCATTTTCTTAGTGCATGTAGTGTTTGTGATACTGTTTTAAAACCTGGTGTCATGGTATCAGAAAAGTGTCATTCTCTTTGTTTTGCCATCAGAAGATAGTTTTCCAAGTTGGCCAAGCAGGGTAGAAATTGGCTGATATTCTTGGAACTTACAGAGTATCATGGTAAGGATATAGAAGGAAAGGGAACAGAATTCATGCATCAACCTTGATTTTTTTTTTCTCCTTTGTGTGTTGCATCCCGGGTTCTGGTTTTTCTTCTGCCCTTAGACTGTGTTGACTTCCCGTCCTCTTCCCTCCATGTGTCCCTGCATTCTTGGACTGTCCCAAGTGGTGTGCTACCTCTCTCCTGTCTGGGAGGGCATTGGGAATGGGAGCAGTGAAATGTTGGAAACTCCGAAGTTGGGAATGTATCTGTTACTCACCTTGTATGTGTGTTTTTACTCCCTGGTGGTCACTGTCACTAGAATCCTGCAGTGATAAGGCGAAGTTGAGAGGCCCCTTGCCCTACTCTGGCCAGAGCAGTGAAGTCAGCATGCCCAGCTCTCGGCCGATGGAGTATGGTAAGTGAGAACGAGGCAGGCCAGGGTTCCAGGTGTGTCTTTTTTCCTGCTCTTCCCTTGTGGCTGCTGAGTCCCGAGCTCTGTAGAAGGTACACTCTCCAGTCTCATCCTCCCTGTCCTCATTTCCGCCCCAGTGCGAGAATTCACACTGCTCCGCCATTTCTCTTGACTCATTTCTCACTTAGGGATCCCACCCTCTTTGGTGCAATAGCTGTTTTCATTGTGCGTCTGTTAACCAAGATGGTTGGCTGTCTGAGTGAGAGGGATCTTGAAAAGAGGCTTTGGGCATCGGGGTTTAAATATCCGAAGATGGGTTCCACTAGGAAATCATCCACAGGAGGAAACCATTTATTTCCTTTCTGACTCAGCCCAGGTGTTTTGTTTTTTCTTTCTGTGTGGGGTAGGAGGGCCAGTGTGTTGTCTTTACATTTAGGTGATAAGAGGATCGTCTCTAGGCTTTTCCATGCCATTTCACCCTTCTCAACCAAGAGGTGTGGTGCTGTAGGATATGAGATTCAGAGACTTCCTGCAGGTGCACATCTTCCCGCCTGTGCCCGGGAGAGCTGGGGGTGTATCTCGGTAAGAGCACCCCCTTCTCGGAGAGCGGCTGTTACACAGCTCATCCCCTTTCCCCTTTCTGTAGAGAGTGGCCAGCACCTGTGCTCGGGGGAAGGCATGTTCCGGAGACCCTCGGAGGGCCAGTCTCTCATCAGCTACCTGTCTGAGCAAGACTTCGGCAGCTGCGCTGACCTAGAGAAGGTAAGAACCGGCTCAGGGCGGCCCGAGGGCAGGGCCGTTCTGACCTCAAGGGGCTCTGAGTACCCAGCAGGGATGGCATGGGCCATGCTCTTTTTCCAACCCGCTCCGCCCTTACGCTGGTCTCTCTCACACACAAGATCTTCACCTGCGACTCCCTGGAATAAGGTCCATATGGCCCCCAGTTGAAAAATGCTCTACAGGCAAGAGTGAAGAGATGTTCACAGTAAAGACAGACTTGCAGGTCATCTCTGGAGAGCTCTTCAAGGAGCAGCTGCTCCTCGCTGAGTCCAGAACTGTTACTGATTTTGTCTAGAAGCTGCTTTGGTCAGAGAGGCACAGGACACAGGCTTTGCGATTGTTACTCTCTTGACCTCAGGTAAAATCTTACCAGAATCTACTTTTACATTTTTTTCTAAGAATTTGTAACTAAAAAACAAACAACAACGACAAAACCAACACTATAGTAATCTATGGCTTATAAATCACTTTATTTTGAAACATTTTGTTTATATTATGTGTATAGGTGTATAACTTTAGGAAAAACCCAGATATAAAATCCAGAACTTCTTCTCTGTCATATTTGTATGTAGAAAGTGAGCCAGGCTTAGCCATGGAGAGAGCAAAGAAAATACGAAGCAGGTTTTCTGGCAATTAGCCTTCCCATAGTAGAAATGAACTTTCTATTTGTGTGTTTTGAATAAAAGCAGGTTTCGGAACTCTGCTTTCTAATGTTGTCCTTAGTTGCCTGTTATCCAGGGTCTCCAGCTCTCCTCAGCAATTTCAGTCAACTCTGGCTTGAAAATATTGTATGTGATAAGTTATTTTGGGAGAGTCACCTTTTATTACAGTATATTATTTATGACTGTTCTTTAAAAAATCTTTTATGTCATTAATCTCTTACTATGCCTAATTTATAAATTAAACTTTATAACATGGGTGTGGGGCTGGAGCGATAGCACAGCGGTAGGGCGTTTGCCTTGCACGCAGCCAACATGGCCAACCCGAGTTCGATTCCTCCGCCCCTCTCGGAGAGCCCGGCAAGCTACCAAGAGTGTCTCGCCCGCATGGCAGAGCCTGGCAAGCTACCCATGACGTACTCGATATGCCAAACACAGTAACAACAAGTCTCATGATGGAGACGTTATACTGGGCCCTTCTCGAGCAAATCGATGAACAACAAATGGGAGGACCGTGACCGTAACATGGGTGTATTGGCAGAGCCTGGCAAGCTCCCCATGGATATTTGATATGCCCAAAACAATAACAACAAGTCTCACAATGGGGACTGATGCCCACTCGAGCAAATCGATGAACAATGGGAGGGCAGTGCTACAACATGGGTGTATAGGGAAAAAAACAGGATATATAAGATTGCAAACTTAAGGCTTCAGGCACCCACCTGAGGGGCTGGTTTAGAATGGGTCCCCCCCCCCCAAGGAGGAGGGACCTCTGTGACCAGTGAGATGTTTAATGCCTCCTTGGTGTCTCCTGCTTTAGGAGAATGCCCACTTCAGCATCTCAGAGTCCCTGATTGCTGCCATTGAGCTGATGAAGTGCAACATGATGAGTCAGTGCCTGGAAGAGGAAGAGGATGGGGAGGAGGACAGTGATCGGGAGATCCAGGAGCTGAAGCAGAAGATACGCCTTCGCCGCCAGCAGATCCGCACCAAGAACCTGCTCCCTGTGTACCAGGAGGCCGAGCATGGCAGTGAGTGGCTGCGGGTGCTCTGACCTCTGCGTGCCTGCAGGACCCCCTCCCCCCTCCACACACACATGCGCACACTGTGGGGGCTCTCTCGCCTCTGCCTCTGTGTGCCTGCAGGACCCCCCCCCCCACACACACTGGGGGCATTCTCTCACCTCTGGCCTCTGCACACCTGCAGGACCCCGCCCCCCCGGCAACACACACACACACACTGGGGACTCTCTCTTGCCTCTGCACCCTTGTTGAATCCTCCCCCGCCCTTTTCTTGGTTTTAATAAGACATTATAACCAAACCCAGAGGTCCTCTGCTGTCAACAATTTTCCTATGTTCGAATTTTTTTTTCATACCACAGGAGAGTTCTAGAATACCATCCATTTTCTGTCATGATTGGCTTTTTATTGATTTATTTATTTATTTATCTATGACTGGCTTTTTAAAAGTAAGTTTCTTCTGAGGCCAGAGCAATGGTCCAGCAGGTAGGGCGTTGCCTTGCACACAGCCAACCCGGGTTTGCTTACCCAGCATCCCATAGGGTCCCCTGAGCACTGCAAGGAGTGATTCCTGAGTGCAGAGCCAGGAGTAACCTCTGAACATCGCTGGGTGTGACGCAAAAAGGAAAAAAAAATGCAGGTTCCTGGTAAGATCCGGTTCCGATAAAACCATCCTGATAAGATGAGCACAGTGCCTTCTGTTGATGTGCTACTTCCCCAATTTCATCAACAGAATGGGAGCCAGTCAGCAAGAAGAGCCGCTTCCCAGCCTCACCCCCAGCTGTGGTTCCTTTGCAGTTGCAGTCAGATCAGGTGTTTCTCATTAGGATCCTGTCGGATTGACCTCTTTCTGGTTCTCACTTTTTAAAATTTATTTTTATTTGAGCTTGTTTGGAGGTTCTAGCAGGGGAGCGCAGCTACTCGTATACCCTCGACCGAAGACCGGTCCGTCTCTATCGGGGAAGGCCGTCCTCTTTGACCGAGCGCGCAGCTTCGGGAGGGACGCACATGGAGCGGTGAGGGAGGAAGGGGACACCCGCCTAGCCAGCCAGATCAGCCGAATCAACCCTGGCGATCAATGGGGTGACAGATGTCGCAGCCAGATCGCCCTCACATTTATTTTTATTTTTTTGACAACAGGCTTTCGAGTCACTTCCAGCAGCTCCCAGTTTAGTTCACGGGACTCGACCCAATTCTCTGACTCTGGCTCTGCTGATGAGGTTGATGAGTTCGAAATTCAAGGTAAGAACTGACGAGCGTTTTCAGAGCTTTCATTTGCTTTGTTTCTTGAAGCAAATTGTCTTCATTATGCTTTTACTTTGGAAGCATAGGCTGAGAAACTTTCCCTCAATCGGGGACTTTAAGGTGCTGTTACTGTTGTAAGTGAAGTCGCTCTTTGCTAGAAACAACCCCCTTAAAACGCTGATGGTGCGCCAGAGAGACAGTATAGCGGGAGGGCATGTGCCCAACAGCGGCTGACCCGGCTCAGCCCCAGGCACCCCGCGTCTTCCCCTGAGCCTGCGGGAGTGATTCCTGAGTGCAGAGCCAGGAGTAAACTCTGAATATTGCCGGTGTGACCCCTCCACAATCCCCCCAAGGTTAAGTGGTTGAGAGACCCCCCCAAGCTCTCCCCCACAAAATCTAAGTGGAAGAGAGAGAACAGGGGTGTAGGTGCTTGCTTTGCATGTGGTGACCCCAGGTTTGATCCTGACATCATATATGGCCCCCCTGAGTTTGCCAGGAGAAAGCCCTGAGCACTGCCGGGAATGGCTCCAACCCCAAATAGTGGTCTAAGAGTTGACATGGAAAGATGCTGGTGGGAATGTTCTGGCGTGCAGGCTCCCTGCAGCACTCACCTGACACCGTTTCCAGTCACACCTCTTGCTGGAGCTTCTGAAGACGTCTGCCCACATGAAATCAGAATTCTCTTATGTTCTGTGATACAACAGAAATTACTCCTAAGTATTCAGAGGGAACATTATTATATTCCTAAAAGAAAAGGACAAAAAGAGTCACTGAAGGAAGTAAAAAAGGGAGGAAAATAATTTCTACCAAGTAGAGCAATAATATCAGTCTGTGACGTACCACCCTGCCTAGCGAGCCGCAACTCCTCCTGTCCGCATGTAATAAAACTGCCCCTTGGGGTTCTGATCTGGGAGTGGGGGCAGCTGCATAAAACTAGTGTAGCCCTCGATGAATCTAGTCCCATGAGTCCTAGGGCTTCCCCCCTCATTAGAGCAACAAGCAAACAGTTGAGAGACATAAGCTGCCCCCGTGGATGGCTTCCCTGGTTGCTAATGGCACTGCGTGCGTGGGATAGGACATTTAGATGGCTGGAGTCATCTGGGAATGAAGCAGTTCTGTCTCTCAAGCTGCAGAGGTCCTTTTATGAGCATACAAAATTTATTTTTATCTTTTGGAGCCAAAGCCAAGCCCTGATTTCAGGAAATGGTATGGAACTGTCCATCTCATCAGCTTGCTTCCTGCCTGGATACTGAAGGGCCTCCTTTACCATCATTGTCACACAGATGGTAGTGAAGGATCTAACCTGACTCCTGTGTCAGAGACCGGCCTCTCAGTGTCCATGGCCTCCATGTTTTCAGGTAGTCTGTGTTGGACTGTGGGTGTGCTTGTAAACGTATGTGTGTGAGTAAAAGTTTGCACCGCTTCTGTATGAATATTCTTTGTCGTGTATATCTGTCAAGGTTACAAGAACCACTGAGTCTGAAGACTAGTTGGAAATGGTCTTAAGCCAACTAGGAGCAATTGATGTTCCTTTTCTTCTTCCTCAGATGATCCCCATAGTCCACCTCACAGGGGTTATCCTTACTGAATCTCTCTGCAGTGATAACTGTAGATTATTTACTTTGTCGTTGTCTCTGACGGAAGTAGGGGACGGTTTGAAAGAAATAGCCAGGTAAAGAAATTTTCGTTTAAACCTATAACTTAAATCACTGCTACTAATTCAGAGAGAGAGAGAGCAGTGGTCTGAGGCTTCCTCTGACTTACAGTCAGCTTTTACAAAGGTATCTCTGCTGGGTACTTTGTATATAGTTAGGATTGATTGCCCAGGATTTGGCCTTCATCATTTATCTGTGTTCCAAACAAGTGGGCTCTGTAGGTGGGGGAAGAAAGTAGCATTTTCTACTAAGGTGACTTTATTTTTTATTTATTTATGTTTAACTACTAAGGTGACTTTAAAATATAAAATCAATCAACAACTCAAGACTTTTTAACATAGTTCATTTTAATGGTTAGTGTTATTATTAGAATACAATATAATCAAATAATACTGGGTTGAGCAAGAAATAAAAGTCATTTAGTGATCTTTTTCTCTATTATAAAAATAAATTTTCATAATTTATTCTAACATCTTTATCCTGCTTGAGAAAGAATCATACTAAGTAACTTTGTCATCTGGTTTCTAATATTTCTCACCACGATCCTTTACTGTTTCACTGTAGTATTTATTGGCGTAGCCTGTCTGCTTTCTAGTGTTCTTTTACCCCATTTTTAAAAATCATTATTACTTTATTTTAATGAATCACCGTGAGATACAGTTACAGACTTACAAACATTCGTGCTTACGTTTCAGTCATACAATGATCGAGCATTAATCCCTCCACCAGTGCCCATTCTCCACCACCAATGTTCCTAGTATTCCTCCCCGACTCCCCCCCACCCCTCACCTCTGTGGCGGGCAGATTCCCTGTTTATTCTCTCTCTCCTTTACGGTGTTGTGGTCTGCAATGCAGGTATTAAGTGGCCATCATGTTCGGTCTATAGTCTACTCTCTGTACATATTTCACATCCCTAACGGGTCTTCCAAGCATCCTTTATTGGTATACCCCATTTTTGAGACTTGCAGGTTTTTCCTTAAAAACACAAGAGTTTTAAAAAAAAAACACACGAGTTTTATGTAATTTTATATGTTTTATATTTTTTATGTCTTAAAAGTTTTATGTTTACATGTCACTGTCACTGACCTCCCGTTGTTCATCGATTTGCTTGAGCGGGCCCAGTAACGTCTCCATTGTGAGACTTGTTGTAACTGTGTTTGGCATATCGAATACGCCATGGGTAGCTTGCCAGGCTTTGCCATGTGGGCGAGATAATCTCGGTAGCTTGCTGGGCTCTCTAAGAGAGGCGGAGGAATTGAACTTGGGCCGACCAGGTCGGCCGCGTGAAAGGCAAATGCATATATATACGTGTGTATATAGTTTCATACAAGAATACAAAATGTTTTCAACTAAAAAATTTCTTTTTTCTGGGGCCTAAAAGAAAGTGGAAATGACTTGTATGCATCTTACCCTAGTTCAGTCCCTGGCACTGCACGTGGTCCCCCAAGCACCCCTGGGGGTGACTCCTGAGCATACAGAGCCAGAAGCAAGGGCCGAGCACCAGTTCCCCTCCTCACCCCACCTCCCAAGCAAACAGAAACAAAAGCCTTCTTTTTCTTGTGGCACACAATCTCAACGCATTGGGATTGGCACAAAAGTAATAAGAACAAACCTCTCTTTAATACGGTGACTTTCTTGCTAAACACAGATTATCTTTATCATGAAAGTATAATTTGCAGCCATCTGTCTCTATTACACAGTTATTGTTTTCTTTTTGTGTTTCTGTCTTCAATGAAGTTTATTAATAGTGCCAAATTCTTCTAAAAATGACATTAGTCTCCTCTTGGGTTCCCTTCCTGATTCTTTCCAGAGATTTGTAGACACCTCATTCTGATCACCTTATGTGATGTTTGCTATTGAGAGTCCCTTAGGGAGTTCCTCTGAGCCCATACCTTAGAGAAATCAAACTACTGAGTGTAATCTTAAGGACTTTATCTATGAACATATGCTCCACATGCTCTGCCTAACGGAATGAACCCCTTTCTTAGATCCTGGTTTCTTCCTTTCAGGAGGCCACAGGTGGTGTGGTGGGTGGGGAAGGGCCCTGGTGTCAGGTCTCTTTATGGGAGGTCTTATCAGCAGTCCTACTGGAAACTTTTCTCTGGGTCCTGAGGCGGCTGCCTCAGGGACTTTCCCTGCCCTAGGAGGTGCTGAAGGAAGCACTTCAGGAGAGGCCTTTCCCAGAGGAGATGCTGAGGGCAGCTGTTTATGAAAACTGCTGGAGAGCTAGGGGCCAGCCCAGCTGCAGGGGAAGCATGCGCTGGACACTGGAGAAATCCTCCCTTCGCCAGGCCCCTCCCTGCCCTCTGCATACAGAGCTGACCCCGCACCCACCCCGTGCTGCACCCAGCAAGCTCCATTAGCACCGAACTGACAACACAATTAAAATTAGAGTTACTACAACGCAGCAATTTTCTTCTTGGTCCCGAACACAAAGCGTCCATCCCAGAGCACACCAGCACCAGCACTCGGCATGGCGGCCGCTGTGCCCAGCGCGCAGTGTGTGTGCTAGCGTCTGTGTGACTGTTTCAGAATCCTTCGCTTCAGGGCTTTCCCCATTTTCTTTTCAGGATTTCATGCTTTTTCATTGCTAAGTGTGTGAGTTCTTTATATACTTCGAATATTAACCCTTTATGATACGCATATGTATATATACATATATATGTCTCCCATTGCTATGATGCCTTTCTAGTTTTTTGATAGTTTCTCTTGTTCATATCTACTCATCCCATTCCTTCTTCTTTTCCTATTTTGGAATTATACTCCTTGGTTCTCAGGGCTTTACTTCTGCTTCCTACTCGGAAATCACTGCTGGGTGGGCTTGGGGACCATGGAACTGGGGGGTCGAGCCTAGGTCCCAGCAAGGACCTCACCTGCTCTCATCTTTCTGACCTTCCCCCCACACACCCTTTTCCCCCCATACACCTCTTTTTAAATGATATTTTTCTCTTTATAAAACAAGAATAATCGTGTGCCTTCATTTTAAAGTGTTTCCCTTAGGATTAGCAAGTAGAGGAAAGGACTTCTAGATGTGCTGTGCATGACCTTACGTGCTCGAAGGGTGGCGGGTGGAAACCAGCCTCACTCCAGGGAGTTACTGTGAAGTTGGTGCTCTTCCTGTCCTTGCATATCGTGTTAGAAATTTTATACATTTTGCTAGGATTTTGCTATCTAAATCAGTTCTTCACTGATGATCTCAGTATCAGTGTGTGGACCTGCACGTTTTTTTCTTACGTCACTTTTTCACTCAGCAGTGACAGTCTCATCTAAGTCATCAGAGGCACTTGAAATCAGTTCTTTTATGGAATACAAGACTTGTTTATAATGCAAAGATTAAAAAATTTTATAATTATGTTGACTTTGACTTGGCAGGTAACCATCTCAGACCTGCCTAAGGGGAAGTCTGTCGAGTAGCTTCCTCTTCTTTTTACTGCTTAATTTTCTGTCTTAGGCTCTGGCCTCTTTATTTAGAACTTCGCCTAGTGTTGGAACCACCTTAATCTAATTATGTGTCTGAACTGATCAGAGGGCCAGCTGCAGGCCCAGTTCCCAAAGGGCATTTGTGGAACTTGGCCTTGTTGGTGGCAGTTGTGTCCCAGTCCTGGATGCTGCCTTCTGCTTCCACTTCTGAGATAAGATCAAGGTCTGAAGACCAAGCAACTTGAAATGGGCTCTGCTGGGTCTGAGTGGTGGGTTGAAGAAGAATTTACCAGGAGAATGAGGCAGTTTAAATGAGAGAAAAGTAAATTTATTAGAAAAGATTAGCTGATGGGGCCTGAGAGATAGTACAGTGAGTAGGACTCCTGCCTTGCACGCTGCCTACCTGGGTTCGATCCCCACATCTCACATGTTCCCCTACGCCCACCAGGAGTGATTCCTGAGTGCAAAGCCAGGAGCAACTCCTGACCACTGTCAGGTGTTACCCCAAAATTAAAAAAAGGGGAAAAAAAAGATTAACTGGTCAGACTGATACCACAGTGGAGACTGCCGAGGAAAAGAACTTCTCGGCATAGCCCTGGGAGTCCTCCTGCGTGTCTCTGGGTGGTATCTGCTTTTCTGCTTTCTTTAGCCAATTCCAGGAAATGGTTGAGCAGGAAATGTGCATTTAATTCTGGGAAGGGAGTGAATTGTGTCTAAAATGTTCAGAGCCATTCATAGGAAGGAGAGAGTAATATATATATAAATACATATTTATACAAATGCATACTACATGAACATGTGGGTATGTATGTATAAATACATGTATGTATATATTACATAATGTGTTATATACTATATATGTGTACATTATATATAAATATGTGTATATATTAGTATATGCATAGTATATTAATATAACCAATATAATAATTATATGATATACTATGTGATTATAATATATATTAGATGCAAAATATATATGTATTTATATGTATATACATGCATATATAATAGTTTTAGCCCATCCCAGGAAAGGAGAGTCTGGGCTGGTTTTAGGAATGGAGAGGCAGCAAGGTACATAACCTGTCTTGCTGAGTTCCCTCAGGAAGGGAGGGACTGAGTAGCAGAAATGAGAGACAGGCAGCCCAGGGACTGTTCGGGCATAGCTGATTGTTTTTGCAGGGACTAGTCAGGCCCAGGGTGTTAGACACGAGATTAAGGTCTCCTCCTCGGGCTTCTGCTAGGCGTGTTCAAGGTCCTCACACCCAAAGCACGTGGCCTTCTGCACGCTGGGAAGTTGTTTATGCTTAACCAGGAGTCCCTGCCCCATTGTCAAAAAAAAAAAAAAAAGGAGAAAACACCTGAAGAAGTATGACTTGAATCTGTTTCCAGAGAGAGAGGGGTTTTCTTGTTTTGTTTTGTTTTGGGGCCACACCCAATCCTGCTCGGGGGTTATTCCCTTCTCTGCTCAGGGATCACCCCTGATAGAGTTCTAAGACCAGACAAGGTGACAGGGCTTGAACCCAGAGCAACAGGCATGCCAGGCAAACACCCTGTCCTGCTCTCTCTCCAGTCTGAGGAGTGTGTTTCCCATCGGACTTCTCTGCGAAGACAAGCACTGCTAAGTGCCACTTAGGACAGCAGTCCCCTTAGCAGCCAGAGTGAGTGCCGCCCCCTCTCCGGGGAGAGCTCTCCTTAGGGAGCTTTTCTTGTCTGGGTACAGGCGCTGTAAGATTTTCTGTTTCCCTTCTCCATTATTCGCAAAAGGCTAACAGGGGCTTATTTTCAGCAATTATTCATTTACAGAATATATTCTGGAAACCTGTCACATTCAGAGCACTCTAAGGATTACAGGGACCAGACAATGTGCAATTCTAGGTAGCATCAGAGTTATCTAAATAAATGTTGCAAGCCAGATGGTCTTTGAAGCTCTGGTCTGTGAAAGCAGTAATTGCCAGCATTTTTAAAGGTTAGGTACTGGTTTTCTTCTTGTTGTTGCCCTGGCTGGGCGTCCCTCACATGCCTGTTGTGGTGCTGCACATGTAGCTGGGCTCAGGTTGCAGTGCTCCCATACTCTGATGCACCCCCACTGCAGCGTCTGGCGCACGGTTCCAGGGCTCACTCTCTTCTCTTCTGGGCTTGCGAGGGGGTCCCTTCCTGGTGACTCTGCCCACATGCCTTCAGGGTCTGCTTTTTGCTGAGGTCGAAGCCCTGCAGTTGCAAGCTGGCCTGTGGGTGCTGGAAGTCACTGACTCAGAGCCGCCAAGCATGTCAGAACTCGCTCAGTGGGTGCTGGGGCACTGCGGGTTGAACGTGTGGCTTTGTGCTTGTGCCCTAAGATGATCCTAAGCTGTGTATTTATTTCCACACCCCCAACTTTTTTTTTTTAATGTAGGAGTACTGGTATTTATCCAGCCATTGATTAAGCCAATTGAATTAGGCCTGAACTCCACATTACATTTTTTAAAAATTCAGAACGTTAATTTTATTATTATTATTTATTATTATTATTATTATTGTTATTATTATTGGGCTGGAGCAATATCACACCAGATAGGGCGTTTGCCTTGCACGCAGCCAACCCAGGTTCAAGTTCTCTGTCCCTCTCGGAGAGCCCATCGAGCTACTGAGAGTATCTTGCCCGCACTGCAGAGCCTGGCAAGCTCCTCGTGGTGTATTTGACATGCCAAAAACACTAACAACAAATCTCACAATGGAGACGTTACTGGGCCCGCTCGAGCAAATCGATGAACAACAGGAGGACAGTGCTACAGTGCAGTGCTATTATTATCATTAATCACCACGAGTTACAGTTGCAAAGCTTTCCTGTTTGAGTTTCAGTCATACAGTGATCGATCACCCAATTCTCTGCCAGTGCACATCTTTCACCACCAAGGTCCCCAGTCTTCCCCCTTTTCCAACCCTCCCCCTGCCTCTATGGCAGACAGTTTTCCCCATACTCTCTTTTGTATTGCTTGTTATGAATAGCATAAGATGTCCTAGAATTCTAAAATTTTAGATAATTGGGGTCTGGAGAAATCGCTGCAGTGAGTTGCTTGATTAGGAGATTCTTTTAGGTGTCTCTGGATCATGGCCATTAGGGAGCTTAAGTAGCAGCCAGAAGCAGTTGTGGGTGTGACTTCCAGGTCTCATGGGGGCAGGGGGGGTGAGAAGGGCTGGCCCTTTCCCTATCCCTTGAGGCCTGGAGTTTGCTGTCACCAAACCCACATATCTGCACTTCTCATTGGGCTCAGGAAGTTGGTGGCCACGGGGGTTCTTAGGGGCAGGTGGAGGGATGACGCCTGCCCCTGTCTGAGGCACCCCAGTCAAGTCAGCCTGGCTTGATGTTTGGAGGTATCTCTGATGCCCCCAATTTTTAATTTTATCACTTGTGGTATTTTAATTGGACTAGACAATTAGCAGAATATGGATATTGGTGGTTCAAGTTTGGGTAAAAACTATGATATACATGAATTTTTTTGTTAAATAAAAAAAGAATTTATTAATTACGGTCTGAATTTTTGTTCTCATCTTAAGTATTTCTGTGCTTGGCACACATACGAAAATTCATCAGCTTTCCATCTGTTCTTTTGTTCATACAGTTTTGAAGATAAGTGAGGAATATTTTTGAGTATGTGCTTATATTCAGGGTACTGTGTTAACTATTAAAGCACCAGCAAAAGAATGAGACACAATATTATTTCCTCAAAATGAGATTTTATTTTATTTATTTTTTGCTTTTTGAGTCACACCCGGCGATGTACAAGGGTTACTCTTGGCTCTTCACTCAGGAATTACTCCTGGCAGTGCTCGGCGGACCATATGGGATGCTGGGAATCAAACCAGGGTCGGCCGCATGCAAGGCAAATGCCCTACCCGCTGTGCTATCACTCCAGCCTCTCAAAAGGAGATTTTTAATCTAATGGGATACAGGAAATATATGTATGTAGAAAGGAAACATGCTGCAAAATTGAGCTGCCCGTGACCAACTGAGGGTGATGGCTTGTCAGATTACTGTTCATTGTACAGATTGGATTGGGCGGAGAGCTTCATTGCACTGGAGATTGAGAGCGAGGAATGAGACTTTTCAGATCAGTCTGTTTTCATGACATGAATAGGCTCTATTTGCCTTGAACATGACGCTGTATTTCACATTATTCCCATCAAAACCATTTGGGTAGAAATCTCTGTACTCTCAGTTATGTCATTACTAGAAATACTCTTCAAATACTCTCCTCTCGGAGAGCCTGGCAAGCTACCGAGAGTATCTCGCCCGCACGGCAGAGCCTGGCAAGCTCCCCGTGACATATTCGATATGCCAGACACAGTAACAACAAAGTCTCCAGTGGAGACGTTACTGGGCCTGCTCGAGCAAATCGACGAGCAACGGGAGGGCCTTTACCTTTACCTTTTACTCTTCAAAATCTCCTCTCAGAAAGTCTGCCATGGTTTACTGTAGGTCAAACGATGTGAATAGCTTCATGAAAGTTTGTTGGTTCCCAGGCATCTCCAGAGTTGCTGTCCATGGACAGGATTTTTGGGATTTTTTTTTGGTTTTGTGGGCCTTTACCCTGCCCCCCACAAAGAGGAAGGAAGTATTTCTTTGTGGCCTTTTCCCCCAAACACTATAGGTGGTAATAATAGTAGGGAGAGGTTGGAAGCGCAGTTCCAATCGCATACACATTATATGTGTTATATAATAAATAACTCTCATGTTCCAAGCTCTGTGTTAGGCATCACTTGATTAAAAAAAAAAAAAAAAGGACTAGATAGAGCAATAGTACAGCAGGGAGGGTGTTTGCCTTGCATGCGGCCAACCTGGGTTCGGTCCTGGCATCCCATACGGTCCCCTGAGCACCGCCAGGAATAATTCCTGCGTGCAGAGCCAGGCGTGACCCCTGAGCATCACCAGTGTGCCCCCAAAAGCCAAAAAGAGAGAGGGAGAGGGAAAGAGGGGGGAAGGGGGAGGAAGGGAGGGAGAGAGAGCACTAGCTAGAGTTCTTGCTCTGTAAGTTTCTCGTGTAAGAGAGCCAAGGTTTAGAGAAAGACAGAGAGATTGGAGTGTTTCTTCTGTGCCTGTGCATTGTAGAGGATGTGCCCTGAGTGCCTTAGGGCGCTTTCCTTTCTCCTTCACTGTATTGCACCAGACCTGAGTTTGTTTCCACTGGATTTGTAGCCACTCTGACTGTGTCTGTGTATGTCTAATGTCACTAACTTGGTCTGGTTGTGACTTTAACAGCCCAGCTCCGCTGTGTTTAGAGCTTTGCCTGGATTCTGCTCCTGACACTGCATGGAGCAGAAAACGTTTGCCCACCCTGTTGCCTAGCTGGAAATACCTGTAAATGGTCTCCATTGATATCCCTTTCTTACCAAATCTCTTCCATTTCCTGCTCCCCTTCCTACTGGTTTCCATCTAGATGCTGACATCAGAAGGAACACAGCCCCAAGCAGCAAATCCTTCATTTCTTCCCAGTCCTTGTAAGTATATTTTTAAGAAAATAAAACCTTGAGATATGTGGGTTCTTGATGTAGGGGTGGGAAAGGCCGTGGATGAAGCCATCCAAATTTACCAAAAGGCATGTTCAAGTGATGGGTCTTGCCGAGGGTGGGAGCCCAAGAGAAGGCAGCAGGAGTGGGTTGTGCGGAGTGGGCTGTGTGGAGGCCAAGCTCCTGGCACAGGTGGCCCTGCACTGCTGACTGATGAGAACAGAAGTCTGAGGTCAGGGGTCAGCAAGGAGACCAGGGGTCATGGCCTCTGCCTGTGAAGTTTGGTGGGATGTCTTTCTGGTTACAGACTCAAGTAGGGAAAATAACAGCTCATTCAAGTAATAGTCCACAAAGTGATGTTATTCACTTCTTTTTTATCTTTTTTATCATTTTTAAATGTTATTTTTATAAAGTTGTTCACAATAATGTATTACATTCAATATTTTATTTATTTATTTATTGCTTTTTGGGTCACACCCAGTGATGCACAGGGATCACTCCTGGCTCTGCACTCAGGAATTACTCCTGGTGGTGCTCAGGGGACCATATGGGATGCTGGGAATCGAACCTGGGTCAGCCACGTGCAAGCCCTGCCCACTGTGCTCCAGCCCCGTACATTCAAAATTTTAACACCAATCTCATCACCTTTATACCTTCCCACCAACATTATTTCAAATTTTCCCACTCATTATTTAGACAATTATTTCAAAACATCCCAATCCTGCCCCAAAGGCAGATACTGAATAATTTATTTTGTAATGCTTGTTATGAATAATTGACTAAGAATGATCAAAAAGGTTTCTTAGAGGAAAGTGTGAAAATTGTTGTATATCACCTTAGAGCCATTAAACCCCGGTATAAGAGATTACTAACATGTTTTTACAGGTTGAGCCTTGTGTGCTAATATACATATATATTAGCAATATCGATTGTCTTCTGCTTTACACCCCATCAAATGTGGTATGCTACTCTTGGTATATCAGTGGCACAGAGTGTGAGATGTTGCTCCAGGAATTCTAAAATTTTAATAGGGTGCTAGAGCTGGGTTTAAATTTTTAACTGGTCGGTGATTTGGGGGTCTGGAGGCATCTCTGCAGCATGTTGCTCTCTTCTGAGATTTATTTCTGAGTCTCTGGATGATGGCCGTTAATAAGCTTGTATGGTACTCAGACAGTTCGTGGGCATGACTGCAGGCCGCCCAAAGTAGAGCGGGATGCGGGGAGAGGGCCTATTCCTGGCTCAGTGTGAGCCTGGAGGTTTCAGTCCCAAAACCTGCATACCTGGGCTTTTCAGTGGATTCGTTCCTGTGGCGAGGGGCTCGTCCAGGTGGCAACAATAGGGTTCTGGAGTTTGTGGCTGCCAGGCTTCTGTTGGGGCAGGCTTCACGTCTTCTTAAAACTATTTTTAGACAAGCTTTTCACTGGCTTTAAATAAGCCTTCCCCCCCCAACTGGTTTTGCTTTCTATTTTACCAGTTAAGGCAGGGAAGTGATTCAGTGCTCGGTAACAGTGCTCCAGGGTGCATTCCTGCCTCGGGTGAGGCTGAGCGCCTCGTTCTTTTTCCATGGTTACAGTGTCTGGTAAGAAGGCCAGGTGGGCAGGGGCCCACGGTGCCAGAGCCTGATGGTCAGTGCTGCCACGGTGCCAGAGCCTGATGGTCAGTGCTGTCTCTTCAGCCACCCATGCGTCTCTCTTTGCAGCTCACACTGCTTCCTACACTCCACCTCTGCGGAGGCAGTGGCCATGGGGCTTCTGAAGCAGTTTGAGGGCATGCAGCTGCCGGCAGCCTCCGAGCTCGAGTGGTTAGTTGCAGAGCACGAAGCCCCTCAGAAGGTAAGTGCTGTAGCACTCCCGTGGTGTCGGGCTCCCAGAGGCGGGAGCCTTTCTGAGCACGTCCACACGTGTCACCTGTCCTGCCTGTAGTCATCCTGTTTCCTCCTTGCCCACAGAAGCCATTTCTCCTGTGTGCCGGGTGAACGTAAGTGTGTGCGTGACGCTAGACTTCCCACCACCGTCCCAGGGCAGCAGACAGTGGCCCCTTCACTCTCCCTCTGACGGCCTCCTCGTCAGACCAGAGGTGGAGACCATGGATGTGAACTGCTCAAACCCTTACTTGTTCTGCCATAGGGCAGGACACAGAGCACCCTGGGCTATCAGTGGCTGGCACGGGTTCGAGGTCAGCAGTGCGGTCACACTGGGACGCTGTTTCTTTCTGTTCTTTTTTTTTTATATATATATAATTTATTTATTTATTTATTGAATCACTGTGGGAAAAGTTACAGAGCTTTCGGGTTTAGGTCTCAGTCATGTAGATATCAAACACATTTCCCTTTACCAATACTTATTTTTAACCCCGAACCCCAATAGACCCCCACCTCCCACCCCTCCCAATTCTTGTGAGGCAGATGAGTTCTAGTTAATACTCTATCTACTTTGACTAGATAGATTGTTTCGATAGAAGATGCACGATTATTGTTTAGAGTTTACGACCCACCCCCCCCCCAATCAGACATGCTGAAACAGCGTTGTGAAATGATTTGCTTTCTACAACTTGGTTTAAGAATAAAAAGATGTTGCGCGGCCGCAATAGCGGCCGCGCAGTTTTGAATTTCTGCTATTTTACTTATTGACCCTGGAAGAATTTCTATTAAAAGTTAGATAGTTAAGAGATTGGTTTCTGTGCCCTGGAGTCGTGGCCGTGCCGGAGAGCCGCTCGTGGGGGGCAGCTGGAGACCTCGGTGGGGCGTGGGGGACGGCCCACAAAGCCCCCCTTCCCATGAGGTCCCTGCCGCTCCCGCCAACCCCGTTTCAAACCGGCTGTCCACAAGGCTCCCGTGCGGCCGCCATCTTTCTTTCCAGAGAGGAGCGGGCGGGCCGGTCAACGCCCTTTCCCCTCCGGGCAGGCTTGGTGGCGCGGTTTAACACATAGTCCATTTGCTTTTCTGCTCCAAGCGGCTGGTTCTCTGTGCTAAGTCCTTGTGCCTCCGGGGCCATGGCCGTGCCCGAGAGCTGCTCGTGGGGGGCAGCTGGAGACCTCGGTGGGGCGTGGGGGACGGCCCACAAAGCCTTTCTGTTCTTTTTGCTTCTTGAACCCCAAGGGCCTTGCTTATAGTATCCTGGTACCTTGTGGCTTGTTTTGAGGCCACACTGCCCTGAAACCTCACTCACAGTGTTCCTGGAATGTCTTTCAGTCTGCTGTGGCCAGAAGGGTGGCGCATGTGTGTCCTGCCAGACTGTCTGCGTTAGCTCTCCTTGTTCATTTCTCCTTAGCTCCTGCCCATCCCTGACTCACTGCCCATCTCACCGGATGATGGGCAACACGCAGACATCTACAAGCTACGTATTCGTGTCCGTGGGAACCTGGAGTGGGCGCCACCACGGCCTCAGATCATTTTTAATGTCCATCCGGCCCCCACGTGAGTTAGCCACCTGGGAAAATGGTTGTAGCCTCTGGGTTATCAGAGTTGTCACCTCAGCCACACAGTTCTGTCTCGCTAAAGGCCTCCGGGCTGCTCCAGTCCTCAGGGTCTCCTGGAGTTGGCAGCGCCCATTGCCTTCTCCCCAGTAGGTCCCTCCAGGCTTGGCAGAAGCCCCATGTTTGAGCCCTGTCTGTCTGTCTGCCGACCCCTCCTTGTCCTTTCCTCAGGAGGAAGATCGCTGTGGCCAAGCAGAATTACCGCTGTGCGGGCTGTGGCATCCGCACCGACCCTGGTGAGTGTCCCCTCTTGCCAGGGGCTGCAGGTGGCTTCCATGCCGACCCGGGTGAGTGTCCCTCTCGCAGAGGGGCCCAGGGTGGCCTCCGCGCCGACCTGGGTGAGTGTCCCTCTTGCCGGGGGGCCCAGGGCGGCCTCCATGCTGACCCAGGTGAGTGTCCGTTCTCACTAGGGGGCGGAGGCCGACACGGGTGAGTGTCCGCTCTTGCCGAGGGGCCCAGGGCGGCCTCCGCAGCGACACGGGTTAGTGTCCCCTCTTGCCAGGGGCCGCGGGTGGGTGCGGATGCCACCGGTGTGTCTCCTCTCGCCGGGGGCCACGGGCAGCCTCACCGGCTCCTAGGGCAGGAGCCACAGTTGCCTGCTGGCTTTCTGGTCTTTCTAGATTATATCAAGCGGCTGCGGTACTGTGAGTACTTGGGCAAGTACTTCTGTCAGTGCTGTCACGAGAACGCCCAGGTGGTCATCCCCAGCCGGATCCTGCGCAAGTGGGACTTCAGCAAGTACTATGTTAGCAACTTCTCCAAGGACCTGCTCCTCAAGATCTGGAACGACCCTCTCTTCAATGTGCAAGACATCAACAGCGCACTCTACCGGAAGGTCAAGCTGCTCAGTCAAGTCCGGGTGAGACCCTGGGAAGGGCCTCGTCAGAGATGCCCTGTATCCCCCCGCCCCTCCCTCTGTGGGCCTGCCCAGGGTCACTGTGTCAGAGCTGTAATGTCTCATCATTCCTCCTTCCTCTGGGTGCTTTTGATCTCTTGCCGTGCTTAGCTGCTGGTCTGGTCAGTGTCTCAGGTCTCCCACCAGTAGCCCCAAAGCTTTCGCCAGAGCTCATGACAGAGGCCAGGGTTCCTGAAGGTGGAAACCGAGCAGAGAAGAGGGCCCCAGGCGGGGGTTCCACTGCTGGATTTCTCACACCCAGATGTGTGCTTAGAGAGGCCAACCAAGGCCCACGGGGGGCTTGGACAGGCTGACCCAGGCCCATGGGGGGTGGACAGGCCGACCCAGGCCCATGGGTGGTGGACGGGCTGACCCAGACCAACAGGGGGGGTAAACAGGCTGACCCAGACCCATGGGTGTTGGACAGGCCGACCCAGGCCCATGGGTGGTGGACAGGCTGACCCAGGCCAACAGGGGGGGTGGACAGGCCGACCTAGTGGGGGACAGTGGGAGCTTCTCTGACCGAGGGCCACTGTTGTGGAATAGTCCAGCTTTGGCTTCTCCGTGTCTGGTTTCCATATCCAGGATTCAGAGATTCTGGTTTTTCTTTTCTGGGGAGAGGGCCTCTGCCCAGTGGTGCTGGGGGCCTCTTCTCGTGGTGTGCAGGGCCATGTAGTGGCCGACATTGATCCAGGGGCTCCCACCCTTTGAGCCATCTCCCGGGGCCTGGTGCTAAACTTCCTGTGGTCGTTTCTCCCTTCTTTTCTGCACCCCCTCCAACCACCACCAGTCACCAAAGTGTCGGTCTTTCTCTTCAGCTGCTGCGAATCCAGCTGTATCACATGAAGAACATGTTCAAGACGTGCCGCCTGGCCAAAGAGTAAGTCAGACCAGAGGCAGCTTCCCTGGTGAGAGCAGCTCTGAACGGGCTATGGAGCAGCAGGTGGCTTGTTAGGCAGAGGTGGGGAGTGGGGAAATCTTGCAGAGATGTCACAGGTGATAAGTGAGAAACCCCAGCAGTAACTGGGTCTGGGTTGTCTCCCGGGCAGGCCCTCTGCTCTCTGTAAGCTGGCATGCTTCACTCTGTGGATGGGAGCGAGAGCCCCAGGCAGTGTGAGGGGATGCTGGGCTGAGAGAAGCCCCCCCAGTGTGAGGGGACACTGGACTGAGAGAAGCCCCCCCCCAGTGTGAGGGGACACTGGACTGAGAGAGGGCCCCCCGGTAGTGTGAGGGGACACTGGACTGAGAGAAGCCCCCCCAGTGTCAGGGGACACTGGACTGAGAGAGGGCCCCCCCAGTAGTGTGAGGGGACACTGGACTGAGAGAAGCCCCCCCAGTGTCAGGGGACACTGGACTGAGAGAGGGCCCCCCCAGTAGTGTGAGGGGACACTGGACTGAGAGAGGCCCCCCCGGTAGTGTGAGGGGACACTGGACTGAGAGAGGGCCCCCCAGTGTGAGGGGATGCTGTACTGAGAGAGGGCCCCCCGGTAGTGTGAGGGGATGCTGGGCTGAGAGAGGGCCTCCCCAGTGTGAGGGGACACTGGGCTGAGAGAGGGCCCCCCAGTAGTGTGAGGGGACGCTGGGCTCGCAGAGGCCCCTCCTAGGCTGTCTTCCTTCTCTGGCCTCTGACGGGTCTCCTGTCTGCTGTGCACAGAGGCGCTCACTCTCTATCCCCTTTCCTGCCCCGCCTTTCCTCCAGGCTTCTGGATTCCTTTGACGTAGTTCCAGGCCACCTCACTGAGGATCTGCACCTGTACTCGCTGAATGATCTCACTGCAACCAAGAAGGGGGAGCTGGGGCCCCGGCTTGCCGAGCTCGCCAGGGCAGGGGCGGCCCACGTCGAGCGGTGCATGGTAATGGAGTCACTTTAGCATGGAACCGAATCTTGGCTAGTGAGTCAGGCAGTTGTTACTGTTGAGTTCCAGGAGGCTGAAGCGGCCTGTGAATTCCGTGAGAGAGACTGACAGGTGTACGGCTTCCTGGGCTCGTGAACAGCTAATTCATCAGTGTGTGCAGAGCCTAGAACTAGAAGAGGAATTAATTCTGGCACTGCCCTGGGTGAATGAAGGCAGATTGTCAGAATTGCCTTATGCTGGGAACCCTGGATTAGAATCAGAGACGGGGCTGGCTTTCTTTTCAGTTTCAATCCCTGTCATCAAAGATATTGCTCTCTGAGGTAAGCCTCAGTTCTGTTGACTCCAAAAAACAGATAATAGCATCAATTGTCTTTACCTTTTTTTTTTTTTTTTTTGAGAGTGAGACACTGTTACTTTCCTCTCTTGGTTTCTTCTTTGAGAACCTTTCCAACACAGGTTTCTCAGCCATGCCTCTGGGCTACGTCATGAGACTGCACACAGGGCTGTTGAGGGCTGTTGTGCTTCCCAGTGGGGCCAGGACAGCCCCTCGGAGTCCACTCGCCTTTTCTGGCCCTTTTGCTCCCCCCGTTTCTAGCCTCCTTTTGTACATACTCTCAGCGTGCTGCACCTCATTCCGCTCTTTGTCTTTCCCTCCAGCTTTGCCAAGCAAAGGGCTTCATCTGCGAGTTCTGTCAGAATGAGGATGACATCATCTTTCCTTTTGAACTCCACAAATGTCGGACCTGTGAAGGTGAGGGCTTCAACAGGAGTTAGGTCTGAGGGGCAGAGAGATAGCATGGGGTTAAGCACTTGCCTGGTATGCAGTCGACCATGGTTCAGTTCCAGGCACCTCATAGGGTCCCCTGAAAGCATCCAGGAGTGATCCCTGAGCATGCAGTAGGCAAGCTCTGAGCATCACTGCCTGTGGGCCCAAAGCAGTAGTAGTAGTAAGTAGTAGTAATGAGGAAGAGGGGTTGGGGAGGGGGCGGGAGAGGAGGAGGAAGAAGAGGAGGAAGGGGAAGTTAGATTTTGTTAGTCCCTATGTTGGAGCACTGAAGGAGGGCTCTGCTTCCAGCCTGTGACAGTGTTGAGTGATCCCCGCCCCCTCTCTTCCCATCCCAGAGTGTAAGGCATGCTATCATAAGGTCTGTTTCAAGTCCGGAAGCTGTCCACGCTGCGAGCGGCTGCAGGCGCGGCGGGAGCTGATGGCAAGGCAGAGCCTGGAGTCCTACATGTCGGACTACGAAGAGCCCACGGAAGCCTTGGAGCTGGAGGCCTCCGTGCTGGAGACCACCTGAGGGGCTCGGGCGCCTCTCTCAGCGCCGAGGAGCACAGCAATACGACATCAAGCCGCCCGTTGAAGGACTTGCCCCGCTTGGGATTTTTTTTAAATGATTATAACCATTATTATTTGTTTATGACTTGTGTAGTGTCCATGTATAGTCAGCTTTTATTAGGCTGCTGGGGTCCAGTCTGTGGTGATGGTTTGTAGGTACCAGGTCATTGTATCAAAGCTGGCAGTTGGGTCGTGTGGTGGAGCTCCTTGTGCTTCCATCCAGGCTGTGAACATTGAGACCCAGATCTTCTGACGCTCATGGCCGTGTCTGCTCAGACTGATGCTGTTTCAGCTGCATCTCAAGTACCACGTCCAGTTTTATTTTTAGTTCAGGAGCATCTGAGCTAGGCCCTCTCGGTCAACTCACTTCTCCTTTGCTGCTGAAACAGAATGAGGAGTTTGTTCCTTCTCCCAGCCCTGGAATAGGGGTGGCCTGTGCCCTGGGGAGAAGCGGCAGAAATCGGGGGGCTTCCTGGGCATGCTATTGAGTTTGTTGAGGTACTAGAGACGCTTTCTAAAGGGCGCCAGTGTTACCCTGAGACCCTCAGGGACCTCAAGGAGGCAGCTTTGATGGCCTCATCAGAAATATTCCAGGCATAGCTAGTATCATAAGCTCACTTTATTTGTTTACCCAAGTGGACTTGAAGCCAAGAATAGAATGGATTCTGGGCCTGGGCCCATTTTCAGCCTTAACACCAGAGTGAGGCTACACCTCTTTTTAAGGAATGTTGGAAAAGCTGTTGATTTCCTTCTAGGTGAGAAAGTCCCTTTTAAACAGCCCAACTCTTTGATGCAGATACAGTCTTTGAAGCTTACACAAATCCTCAGTGGTGTTCTAAGTTGAGAGAAATACCTTCTTTTGCCTCTGTGTCTTTTGCCTCTGTGTCATCTGTGAGGTGGTCACTGTAGTTCTGAGAAGCATGCTACCATGCTGGGACCTTTCTTGGAGACCTATCTCCTGTCTTTATTTTTTTGTGTTTGTGTCGAAGTTGGGGGAAAGCTTCCTGCTACCAGTGTTGGTAGAGAACTTGACAATTTGTGGATGTGAATGTGAATGTCCCTTTGTTCTTGGGGTAACAAGAGCCTCTATGCCAATTAAGCACTTAACTCTTTAGTCTGGCAATAGTCATATACTTCATCATATTTTTTATGTTACTAATTTTAACACACACACACACACCTCTATTTTGAATGTATGTTTATTTGATAGGGAAAGTTTTTTAACAGGATCGTGTATGTTTTAGTGGTGCTCTAAGTTTATAGCTCCTAAACTTTTCATAGAACACTGGACAGGCTCCCTGTTCTGAAGGCTAGTAGTTTTACAAACGCAAGCCCACAGCCTTTTGTTCTTGGACTGACTTCAGCCTGTTTTCCCTTCTTTCCACGGCTGCTAGTAGACAACTTAGTGTGGGCACTTCTCTGGGAGGCTGAACCAAAATTCTCACTTCAAGGCAGCTCCTGAGTTGAGGTCCCTAAAGCTCACAGAAAAAGTAGGAGGGGTGGCAGGTTCTGTCCAGAGCTCCAGCTCCCCGAGGCAAGAAGCAGCAGGGAGGACTTAACTCCTGGAGTTGGTCCCTCTGCCTCAGACTTGGAATACCATGAGACTATCCTCTCTCCAGGTCCTGGGGAGGGTTCTGGAAGCCAGTGCCTTTGGCCCATCCTTATGTTGGATGTTTAAGGGATTAACTCCGTCTTCAGACTCAGGGCGTGATGAAGCTCTACTTTCAGTTTTGGTTTCCTTGCAAATCCTGCTCCTTAGTCGCGACACTGGAGGAGAAAGTACCCTCATACTGTCTTCCTGTTCTGTATCCGCGTAGGACCAAAGGATGGAGCCTGCGGCATGGCTCCCACGCAGAGCCCAGCTGCCGATGCACTCCTGTCTTCACTGGGCTCCCCGCCCTCACCCCCCTCCCCAGCCCGACTGTGTGTGTGTTTAGTGACCCTGACACTGCTGTCACACTGTCCAATGCCCCTTGATCTGTGTGAGCGCAGGGGAGGGAAAACATGCATGGGATGTTTTGAAAGCACTTTGCAACGTAACAGTATATGAAAATCCCCTCCTATTGCGGGGAGAAGCTTTGACTGCACTGAAGAGATCCTTTTGAGTGAAAGGGGGAAGAGAAGTGTTTCTTTTCTAAAATAAAGGGAAAAGTATTTGCTTACAAGGTGGAGACAAGATTCAAGACATTGCAGAAGAGTGGAAGGTAAATGTTTTCCACTTAAATGAGGCTGTTATTGAATTTCTCTGCCAAGACTTTAAAACTTGCATTAAGTCAACATGAAAGGAGCAAGGGTCTAAATAGAGATGTTCAATATGTGTACAGCTTGTGTTCTCAATTGGAGTTCTACTGACTGTAGTTCATGTACATACCCTAACAGTTCATTGTCATACTTAATAAATGAAGGAAATGAAATTTATGTTTTGCGTTTTGCTGCCTTGACAGTCAGGGAACAAACAATACTGAGTGTTTATTGTCAAGCTATATTATAAGTATGTCTGAAATTCAAAAGTGACTATTTTATAATACAAGGAAAACTTGAGCTGTCAGGAAAAGTGGGTTTGGAATGCTGCCGTGCTGGCTGGCTATGATATCTTGCATGAATTTCGCCCCTTTGCGGGTATCTGTTTCTTTGAGGGTAAAGACTTTGTTGTGTGGATTCTCTCCAGTGCAGGGGGCATTTCCCTTGGGGGACCCCCTTGGTAAGTACTTCATCTCAGTGCACTTGCCTGCTTTGGTTCCACTCCTGAACATCTGTCTCCGATTTCTCTCTTATTTAGGGGAGGAGAGGCTGAGCCACAAGCATCAGGGACTACTGATGGGTGCTCAGGGGCTACTCTGGGATCTGTACTCAGGGGTTCTTGGGGGACCACATGTGGTGCCTAGGATCAAACTGACGTGTAACATTTCAAGGCTGTGCTCTCTCCAGCCCTGGTTTCTCTCTTATCCACTGGCGTTCCAGCTCCACCTTGATTATCCTGGATCATTTTCAGCCCATTTGTGTAAGGGCAGTGTATTCCCCTACCAGAGAGCCTCCTGATTTGAAACTGTCTATATACAACTTGGTGACAGACAGGTGTCTTCTAACCCTCCCAGTCAGGCAGTAGGTTGGCCTAGTAATATCACCTTCCCTCCACCACTTGTCATCAAAGTTTGTTCATATTTCTCTTTATTCTCACTCCTTTTCTAACAGTACACATTTTACATTCTTACTTCTTAGCCAGTCATGCAAATGTCTTTTTATTAGCTCTGTCACCAAATATTTTAGTACCTACTCTATCCTTGGGCTGAAGCGATGGCACAGTGGGTAGGGTGTTTGCCTTGCACGCAGCCAACCTCACTGACCCGAGTTTGATTCCTCTGCCCCTCTCGGAGAGCCCGGCAAGCTACCGAGAGTATCTCGCCCGCACGGCAAAGCCTGGCAAGCTCCCCGTGACATATTGGATATGCCAGACACAGTAACAAGTCTCACAATGTTACTGGGCCCGCTTGAGAAAATTGATGAACAATGGGAGGACAGTGACAGTGACTCTATCCTTGTGTCTGGTAGGCTTTGGGGTGACTACAGCGAGCATCCTGAAACTGCTCTGCCCCAAAGAAGCTTAGAATATGTGAGGATGTCAGACATTGTCCAAAGTTACCAAAATGAATGTGTGGTTACAAGCTATAATTCAAGCTATGAAGGAAACAAACATTAAGAGTAAATAAATAACATGAACATAAAGGGAAATTGAAGGAAGAATATATGGGACTCTCTTGCAACTTTTCTGTAAATGTTCCAAATACTTATTACAAAATCTCCAAGAGTTAAAAAATGAAAATAATAGTGTTTCATACATTAAAAAAGTAAACAAGTAACAATAATGTTTCATATATTTAAAAAAAAGTAACAAGGGGACTTAATTTAAATGGGAGACAAAAATCAGACCCCTGAGAAAGTGAAACTTCAACCAAGATCCAAAGGTCCAGGTCAGAGAAGGGAGAAGAGGGCTCCAAACAGAAGTGAGCATTAGGATAGTCTAGATATAGGAACCTTTGGGCTGGGAGTTTAAGCAGGGCTTCCTAAAGAGTTTAAGTTTATGTAAGAACACCAGAAAGCCAGTGAAGCATTTCCATCAAGTCAGGGAGATGGGTCATGGTAAAGCACATGCCTAGCACATGTGAGTGTCTAATCTCCAGCACCTCATGGCCCCTGAGCACTGCATATCAGGCCTAGAAAGATCTGGGGCAGAAGAGATAGTACAGCAGGATAGAACACTTGCCATGCACGTAGCCAGACCAGGTTTGGTCTTCGGCATTCCCATATGGTCTCCTCAGCACTGCCAGGTATGATTCCTGAGTGCCAAGCCAGGAGTAAGTCCCAAGCATCACCAGCTGTGGCCCAAAAATAGCAAAAATAGTACAGTAGTGAGGAATTTGCCTTGGATATGGCCAACCTGGGTTACATCCTTAGCTCTACATATGGTCCCTTGAACTAGGAGTGGCTCCTGAGCATAGCCAGGTGTGGCCCAAAATCCAGAAAAAGAAGAAAAAATGTTTTAATTCTGGTTAAAATGCCAATGTTCTTACAAGCACTACACTGTCCTCCCATTGTTCATCGATTTGCTCGAGTGGGCCCAGTAACGTCTCCACTGTGAGACTTATTGTTACTGTGTTTGGCATATTGAATACGTCACAGGGAGCTTGCCAGGCTTTGCCGTGTGGGCAAGATACTCTCGGTAGCTTGCCAGGCTCTCCGAGGGGTGTAGGAATCGAACCTGGGTCGCCAGGTTGGCCACATGCAAGGCAAACGCCCTACCCACTGTGCTACCGCTCCAGCCCATGTTCCTACCAAACAGAAAATAATTGAGTAGAGCAAGAAGAGGCGGGCGTGTTCTGCAGAGATGGCATCAGTGGTTCAGCAGAGAAATATTTGGACTAGCATGTGACATCATTACCATTGCTGCTCCATTCAGATCCAGCCATTCTTTTTTCTTTTTTTGAT